CAAAAATCCCAAAAGCTTGAATGTATACTATTTCACAAGATGTAATTAAACAATATGAATGATATTAATGATACACTTACATGGACATGCAAATGCATGATCACTTTTTGCGCTTCTTGCTGCCAGCAAGATAGTTTCCCTCTGCATTTAATTTTGTTGCTGTTATGAGTTTATATAATTATATTCATATTTTGTTATCAAACAGGAATAAATGAATGAATACAATACGATTTGTACGATAGTTGTACATTGATGATAGAAGAACCAATGAAAATCGCAACTGATCTTCCCTAATTCTTTTCCCCCTTTTCTTTTCTTCCTCTTTGTTTTCTGTCCCTTTCTCTCCTCTTTCCCTTTCACTTGCAACTGATCATTACCTTTCTTCTTCCTCTTTTTCCCCCTTTTCCTAATACTTCTCGCTCTCTCTCTCTCATTTAAGTTTGGTGAGGGAGGCAGGGGCCTTTCGCCCCCTCCCCCGATCCACACGATGTTGGTGGGATTAATCGCAACTGATCTCTGCTTCTTTTCACCCTTTTCTTTGCTTCTTCCTCTTATGTGTTCCATTTTAGCTCTCTTCTTTCCCTTTCCCTTCTTTCTCTCTTTTTTTTTGGCGGGAAGGGGGGGGGGGTGGTCGGGGGTGGGGCAGAGGCAAAGGCCTTTCTCCGCGATCCACACCTTGTTTGCATGAAAATTGCAACTGATACCCTTCCTTTTCTTTTCTTCTTTTGTTTTTTTTCCCTTTCCTTCCTTCTCTCTTGTTTTGCGGGGGGGGGGGGGGGGAGGCAACAGCATGGGCGGCAAGGCCCTTTTTGGTCCCCCCGATCTCCTTCTTTTCCTCTTTTTCATTTCTTCTTCCTTTCCTCCTTCTCTTCTTTCCCTTCTTTTCCTTCCTTCTCTCTCTCTCTCTCTCTTTTTGTTTGATGAGGAGCCAGGGTAGGGCAGGCGAAGGCCTTTCGCCCCTGATCCACACTGCGTTGTTGGGAAAAATCACAATTGATCTCCCGTACCTTTCTTTTCTTTCCCTTTCTCTTCTCTTCCTTTCTCTCTCTCTCTTAAGTTTGCTGTAGAAGGGGGGGGGGGAGGCAAGGGCCATTTGCCGCCCCCGATCCCCAACTTGTTGGCGGGAAAACTGCAACTGATACCCCCCCCTTTTTTTTCTTCTTTTCTTTCCTTCCCTTTATCTCCTCTTTTCCCTTTTTTCTTTTCCTTCTCTTCCTTTTCTCTTTCTTTTTGCTGGGGGGGGGGGTGGGGGCAACAGCCTGGGAGGCAAAGCACTTTCGGCCCCCTCCCCCTCCCCGATCTCCTTCTTTCTCCTTTTCTTTTCTTCTTCATTTTCCTTTGTCTCTTCTTAACCTTTCCTTTATTTTAATTTCCTTCTTTCTCTCTCTCTTTTGCTGAAAGGGGGGGGGGGGGTGGCGAAGGCCTTTCGCCCCGGAAAACGAAAAACGGAAAATTTGATTTCGATTTCCAATCATAGATATCTTGATAATCAGTCAGGCGATCGGTTTGTAAAAAGTCATGAGCAGCAGGAGAAATCCAGGATTTCGTTTCAGAATCTGAAACAATGTTACCGAGTCATTTTAAGATCTGATTGGTCGTAATGCGACCTCACTGATCATACTATCACACCCAACAGTGATTTGACCATGATTGTAAAGATAAAATAAAATATTGAAATCATCCTGATAATGTATTAATTACGATGTATAGGGGTTGTTACCAAAGTCTGAAAATTGTATATTTTCGCTTTGAATGTGTAAATGCCCCCCCCCCCCACGTTTCCAAAAGTGAAGGGGCAGAAATGGTCGTCTTCAAAAGCATATAATATCATTATTGGTTGTACTTGAGGAGCTGGTTTAATAAAGGATTTGATACGAAGGACAGTATACACAGGGGGGGGGGGGGGAGGGGGGTTGAGTTGATAATAGGGCCTACGTCGTATGTCAAAGACTTCCGAGGGCACATCACATAATACAGGAGAGTCCAATCTTACCCTTTGAGTGTGGTTTAATATAGGAATTTAACTCGGGGAGGAGCATCTGGTCACTTCAAAGGTACTATGTCCCATTTGTAGGCCAAAAAAATGAAAAGGTTAAATTCTAGCGGCATTTGAAAGATAATACTAATTTAGAACTTCCCTAAAAAAGGTGGGGCTTGAAAATGTCTTCAAGTGGAAAAAATAACGACTATTAGTTGTCAAATCGACTTAGGAGCTATAGAGCCAATAAGTAATAGTCTTGATTTTCAGACCATTGTACTGAATGGTAATACGTTTTATGCTGCGCAAAGATTCAATCAGTTTGATTTTGGCTATCACAAGAAGTGGGTTATTGATGTAGACAAATGCTCATGCACCCTTTACAGCTTATTTTATGTATGTTATTATCAAAGAAGAAAAAAGCCAGTCAGTCACTCAATAGTGTCTGACAGTGAAGTCTAGCAAGTAAACAGGTTTCCTTGCATAATTTGAAAATTAGGACACTGCTAACATTCAAATTTCACAGATAGGACATACATGACATATTCATAATTCCTGCAAAGTTCTACAGAATTTGAGGTTGGCTGCAAAAGGGACATAGTACCTTTAAAAACGAAATTTCTTTAAATGAGCTTTTGTTCTTCTTCTTCAGGGATTCTTGATAATGGAAAAGTCTATGGGGGATCAGTATACCTGCTCTCTCTCTCTCTCTCTCTCTCTCTCTCTCTCTCTCTCTCTCTCTCCGCTGGGGGGGGGGGGGGGGGGGGGCAAAGGCGGTGGCTGTTCCGAAGTGATTTGTTAAACATTCATTCCTCATATAACTGCGATGTATTATGATACGATTGCCAACTTTTGCGGGGTGTTTAAAACCTTGTAGACAGATTAACCTTTTCGACCTCGAGTAAATAATTTTTTTTTCATTTCAGAGAACTTGTGTGTGCCCCTATTCTGGCATAGTCACTGTCCCTCGATCATACTTAATAAGAATGAATCGTTCAAGTGATGGAGGAATTTTATAGCGGATCGGTGTAGATCGAAGTTGGTATAGCGCCATCTATAATTGCTTTGTTCTCTGTCTCAAAGTCGCCCCACCGGGAATGAAAAAGACAAACGTTTTTTAAGCGTATTATATTTAATACATCTGTATATATGTTTTATTTAATTTTATGATTGACAAAGAAAGACTAGAACCGTCTAAGTCGTTTCTGAAAACTACAAATATTGATATGAAACAAGAGTATACAATTATCGTGAAAGATAAAGGTAGAAATCTAAGAGCACTACTTTTTCGTGTGTGTGTGCTCAACGAAGAGGGAGGAGGGAAAATGCCCATTATTTAAAAAAAAAAAAAAAAAAAAAAAAACACCCCTCCCTTGCACACATGGGCGTAAATCCTTACGTAATACCTATTGTTTAGGGGGATGATCTATTCATTCATATCCCCCACTGAACAAATGTCAAAAGAGTTAAATGCCATGGGAGGCGAAGGTGATAATTTTTTTTTGAGGGTGGGGGGGGGGGGGGGGGGCGCGAATTTTTTTTCCGTACTCGAGAGGGCAAATACCCCATGTGCGCATGCGCGTGGACTTGTGATTTCTCTGCTACTTCCCATACGAAATGTACATGTATTCGCATCTACTGTGCACGATTCGCGTTCTACGAGTAAACGATGGCATAGTAGTCTTCAAACACAGACTCTGATTTGCCAGTTTGACAAATCAATATGCGTATGTGTCGCGATGTGCTTATTCAAGTCTGTGTAGTTGTATGATTCAGACCCAGTAGTGCATATGGAAATACATTGCAACTTGTATAGAATGGTATAGTAGTCTGCAAGCACAGACGCTAATCTGACAGTTTGACAACATACTAGTAGTGTGCTGAGAAGATAAAAATCACAATTTTATTATTCATTCGACCATTGATTGCACTGACAAAAGAGTTATTAGACCAAAGTTAGAAATATTATTACAGAATGACGGTTTGAGAAGGCCAATAAATGACCTTATGGTGTGTGGGTTTATCATATATAGGCCTACTATCGTTTGTTCAGAGCCAGAAGGGCATTCGTTGTGTTAAGAGTTAACATCCTTCTGGCTCTCAGCAGACCATGATTATAAATAAAAGTAATACAGAGAGTGCGAGCATACTGGAGGGAGAGCTAGAGAGAGAGAAAGAGAGAGAGAGAGAGAGAGAGAGAGTGAGAGAGCAGTGGCACAACACAGAAAACTACGAAAACTTGAATAAAAGCACTACTCAATACACAATAGGCCTATATTATTCTGTCAAACTGTCAAAGGAGAGTCTGTGCTTGCATACTACTATGCCACTCTATAAGTTGAGGTGCATTTCCAATACACGCACCAGTAGGGTCTGAATCATAAAACTACTCAGACTTGAATAACACTATTTTGTCAAACTGTCAGATTAGCGTCTGTGCTTGCAGACTACTATGCCACTCTGCAAGTTGAGATGCCTTTCCAATACACGCACCAGTAGGGTCTGAATCATAAAACTACACATATTTGAATATAAAGCACTACTCAAGACACTATGTTGTCAAACTGTCCGATTAGCGTCTGTGCTTGCAGACTACTATACCATGCTATTCAATTTGGGATGCATTTCTGTAAGCACTAAAATGTCTGAATCATACAACTACTCAGACTTGAATACTAGTACTATTGCTACGCACGATATATGCGTAATTGTTTTGTCAAACTGGCAAATCAGAGTCTGTGTTTGAAGACTACTATGCCATCGTTTACTCGTAGAACGCGAATCGTGCACAGTAGATGCGAATACATGTACATTTCGTATGGGAAGTAGCAGAGAAATCACAAGTCCACGCGCATGCGCACATGGGGTATTTGCCCTCTCGAGTACGGAAAAAAAATTCGCGGGGGGGGGGGGGGGCGGTTATTCATCTCACCGCACACATGCACAGCTCACTGACCTCAGTGGCACAGCTAGCTACAGGCGCGCGCACGCGCGCTCAATCAAGCTCACAAAATCAAAACAACTTCCGGTGATGTGAAGACTACTTCCGCGAAGTCTCAAGGAGATTTCTATCAGAATCGTTTCAAACATGCGAGGAAAACAACGAAGTCCGGGAGAAATATGTGCCGATTGTGCTATGACAGGTAAGATTCATATACCTTGATTAGAATATATGGACAAAGTAATTTGTACATGTTTTGATAAATGATAAAAGTGAACGATATGTAGTGAAAATGCTGGATGTTTTTAGAGACGAGTGCCGTGCTCTCCCCGAGCCATGGCCGTCCGCTGGCTGCTCCTGTAGCCAGAAGTCTGGATGGTTAATCGCACCAGCCGTGGCCGCTCATAACTAATGCCGCGCCCAAGACCCTTGAATTGCCTCTGCCTGTTGACGGGAAAATGGATGTATGGGACTGGTGTAAAAATAAGAACTTGTCATTGGATTAATTGAAATAGAAGAAAAATAAGACAGAAATAACGGTCAAATAATTAATTGGCCTAGATCTATCTATCATGATTCATGTTTAATAATGGGAATGACATTTGTCATCCATCCCCGCCCCGTTCTTCAGTTAAGTTAAATCCGTTGAGTCGCAATAGATCTAGGGTAGCGCGCCCAGTATTCGGTCAGACAGCCGTTTCAACAGCTGTAACAATTTAAAAAATATTTTATGAGCCACGAAAATTGCACAAATCAGGCAGTTGAACAACTTTTCTTAACTCTCAAAATTAAATCAGATTCAGGGCCCCAGAAAGATCTCCAACTTAGCTCGAAATTGGTCAGTGTCGCACAACTTTCTGCACTTCCGCCTTCTCTTAGCACATGCGCTAACATGCATAGCCATATGTAGCAGTCTATTGCGAAACAACTACGTGTGCTGTCGCAATGAATTTAGTATTTGTGTGAAGAGAATCACTTCCGGGTTCACTCCATCGCAGCGAATTTGCAAATGACGCACTTGCTGATGTGCAAGAGGTATTTATACGATACCCTTGCCATGCGGTATCGCTCAGCCAGTATTCGGTCAACGCATTGACATTCAATGCTTTATCGCGCAATTGTGTGAAAATAGTGCGCAAATACGCTTCGCTCCTTGGCAACGGAGATACCACACACAAATCGTGTGACCGAATTTTATTCGGCGCGACCAAATCTTGGGCAGAAAAATGCTTCGTCTTCTCCCGGAAGTAATTTGCTTATCATTATTCTATATTATGAGTGACTATAAAATCCTGTTAGAGGAATAAATTCCTTTTCTTTTGATGGGTAGATTGCCAAATAAAAGAGGTAAGAATTCAAAATATTAGTGATTTCCCCTTAAGTGACCGAATACTGGGCACTCTACCCTACTAAGTAATAAGTAGGGACGCTGGTCCGAGAATAAGGATAGTCTGCATAAATGAGATTATCCTTGTAAGTTGTATTAAGCAGACAAGCAATGCGACAAAAACGGAGACCACGATGATACTCCAGGATGCAATTTTCATTGACGCAGCACAGAGACTTTTATGTTGTGAACAATAAATCCTCAGGAAGACGGACGACCGGTAAAAGTAGACAGTGAATTGGGGGTATTTTGTTTCGCAGAATCCATTTTTTTGCATTGCCAGCGCGGGAATCAGTAAACCTACAGTACAACCTCAGAGCGCCAAAGAAAAAAAAAGTTGGCGGAAATGTAGAAGATCCTTATTTTTTAGGACATGATATGTCCGCGTTTACGAGGATATTCTCGTTTGTGTGGACGATCGTCATTCTCGGACCAGCGCCCCTACTGCTAATAGTTCCTAGCTTGGAAACTCAGTGTGCGCCATTGCTTCGCTGGTTCGCTGCTGGGATGTATCAGCTAGGCGACTTACTAACTTTTCTTTATCTATACCTAATGGTTTGATTCATAAATCAGACATGTGAATGTATAGAGATCTATATAACAACATAAAAAATCAATGCAGAAAGTTGAAAAATAAGGACTTGCCTTCAGAAGTTCAGCTAATCTGTCCGATTTTGTGAAGCTACTAAGCGCGATGGGATCGGAAATCACACACAAACCAAATTGCGTTGCCTCCACTACCCCTTATGCCACACTTCAGTCTATGGATAGAAGCGGTCAGTGGAGCCAGCCGTAATCTCAACGGTTCAACCGTCAACATTAGAGACTGCAGCTTTAAGTCTCGGGGAAAAATATGCAGAAATTTCATGAATCTAAATCTAGTAATATGGAGAAATATTTTAATCCTTCCCCTTAAAATTTAAAAAGGTGCCGTGCTGCCAACTTCTGTTCACGCATCAGAAATGGATCTACATGAATGCTCCACCAATCTGTACTTACCCCATACATACACTGTACTGTGTAGATCAATGATCAAGGATGTTAAATTGGACTCACAGTATGTACAAAGTCATCCCAAGCTAATCTTGAAAATCTGCGTTTTAAAATTTGTCGAAAAACAGGATAACGACTTTCAGAGACGCCAAGTTCAAAGATCGGCAATGCATGACATTTTAATGATTCGGCGCGAGCGCGCGTGTGAGGGTATAACACACGTATAAGGCTAGCGCGCATCGTGCGTAAGAGCATTTTCAGACCCTCGAAATGTGTGATGTCACGCCTAGTGCTGTAACATCACGGATATCTCCAATTCCGTTTAACCGCCTGTCAAAACCGGACGGTTTTTGGTTAAACGATTTATTAAAAAAAATAAAAATAAAAATAAAAATAAAAAATTTAAAAAATTAAAAAAAAAATCATTTTTTATTTGTTTTTTTTTGGGCCGTGTGAAAAAGCAGGAAGGTGATTTAACTGAAGGCGCCGATTTGTGCTTGTGAACTAGTCACAAATAATAGTAACAATGTCGTTTTAGAATAATGTGTAAGATCATTAAAGTAAATTAAAAACAGTAGAGGACCTAGGATAGAACCTTGTGGTACACCATGTGTTAAACTTGGATGAATATATATTGAGATCTATTACAAAGATTACTTTCAAACCAAGATGACAGACAAATTGGAGTGTTGTTCTAGTTTTTAAATGGTAAGTCATCACACCGATTACTGAGCTGGGAGACATTGCCAGGCATAGTGCCAGGTGGAGGGGCATAAATCGAAACTTAAAAAAAAACAAAAAAAAACAGGAAAACGAAACCGTCCAATTGAAAACGGAATCCGCCATGGGCGGTCGGATACCGAACGGTTAAACGTTTGACTACAGCACTAGTCACGCCTAATGCGTGATACTTGGTAACTTGGACTCTACATATTATACACACATGTACATGTATGTTTATGTAATTGGAGTTCAGATACATGTACATGTATGTGATGCTAAACCGCAGCTTTAAAAAAAAATGATGACGTCATTGTGGTATGCTTCACAATTCTGTACTTACATGTAGATGATGACGTGAGTCAGTGAGTGAATCTACAATGTACCATATTATATGTACGGTAGATAGGAAACATTGATCTGTCACACAGAGGGCTCATCCCGGTAACTGCCACTTTTCTCACAAACTACGCAGAAAGTGTGGATGTGGTCTGCAATCAAAATGACATAGGGATTCTAGCTTTAAGGCTTGATTTCAGGTCCTGTTGTTATCTCTCTGTTTCAAGATCTTATTAGGCTTGATATCTTATGGAATGTACAGGGATCCAACTTGATTGGGACCTTTTCAGTCTGAGGGGTTAAAACCAACTGGTATCCTTAAAATTGCATTCGTGAGATCTTTATTCTCCCCTCTTTCATCTTCTTATTAAAAAAACAAAGAAGATTGATCATGATCCAATCATCAATGTTTGATTCACACTAAATTGTTCTGTTGTAACTTACTGTTTTGTAGATGTATCAAAATGAACAATGAAGAAGAATTCTTAATAAAACCCATACAAAGCAAAAAAACCAAGAACAATAAAAAACAAAGGACAATAAAAACAAAACAAAATCAACAACAAAACCTCTGTCATGAATTCACATCTGTGGTACATGTAAGTTTTAATAGCACTGCAAGGGTTAAATATTCAAAAAAAAAATTCTCATTAAACTGCCACCATCCTTGCCCGAAGTACATGTGCATGTAAATGGAGATGCACTTTTATCATTGCCCTAATACAGAGCATGAGCAACAGAAATACACAATTGCAATTGCTTTGCAGATGCGTCATTGACCTTAAACGCATCTGATGCCGACTGCATTAAAATTCCAGTGGTAATGACTGGTGCTTTGGAGATTTGATGGGATCACCTCTTCTGCTGAGAGCAAGAGGGTTGTAAATTCTATAGATGTAAAATTATTAAAGTGTATAGGCCTACTATTAAAGACCAAGTACAACTCGTAGTAATGTTCTGTAATGTCCTCTTCTGCTTCTTTATCTGTCTGCCTCGCTATTGTTGGATTGAAATGAAGTAAAGAAGAATCTGACAACCTCTAGACAATAAGACAATAAGAATCCTAGATTTCAAATTGCTTTGAGCCTGAATCAAAACTTTAAATTTAACATGTTGAGAGATTTTGTTCTGAACATTTAACTCAAGTCCATTTTTAGTACCGGGTATATCAGAAAGAAAATTAATATCAAGTACCGTAATTAACGTTGTATAAACCGCCCTCATGTATTAACGGCACCCCTCTTTTTTGTGGTATGCCGTGTAATAGAAGAAAAATTGGAGGGATTATTTTTATCAACTACATATTGAAATCTATCAGAAAGATTACTTTCAAACCAAGATGACAGACAAATTTGAGTGTTGTTCTAGTTTCCGAGTGGTGAGTCAACACAACGATTACTAAGCTGGGAGACATTGCCAGGCATAGCGCCAGGTGGAGGGGCAGTAATCAAAACTTTAATTTTTTTTTTTTTTTTTTTTTGGTGTACCATGTATAAACAGCACCCCCGACTTTGAATTTTTTTCGGCGGCAAAAAGGTGCGGTTAATACACCGTTAATTACGGTAGTAAAGGTGGAGTCCCATCCTCAGTTTTGTATAAAAGATCTAGACAAGAAACTAGGAATCTGTTGAACTCCTAATCCCCTTTTGGCTCTCAGAGTCTGGCATGTTCCAAAAGTTGTTCAACAGCGATTGGAATTCACCTGCTTGTTTCATTTTGAGTGGGTTCAGTACTAGACAAATATAAGTGAGAATGTCAAATGAAATTGTAATACTGTACAACATAAGTACATGTAGTATTTTGAAATGTTGTGAAAGCATTTATTTGATACAACTTGCATGTCTGTGAATGCATGTGATTTGGTTTAATACGGTAATAGTCATGACTCCCTTTGTTCTACATACATGTATACATGTACAGTACATCTACATGGACAGTACTTGGGTACTGTGAACATTTTACTTTTTGAACATTTAATGATGATGATGATGATGATGAAGATGAGGATGAGGATGAGGCTGATGATGATAATAATGATAATGATGATGATGGTAATGATGATAAAGATGATAAAGATGAGGATGATGATGATGATGATGATGATGATGATGATGATGATGATGATAAAGATGGGGATGAGGATGACGATGAGGAGGATGATGATGATGATGATGATGATGATGATGATGATGATGATGATAAAGATGGGGATGAGGATGACGATGAGGAGGATGAGGATGATGATGATGATGATGATGATGATGATGATGATGATAAAGATGGGGATGAGGATGACGATGAGGAGGATGAGGATGATGATGATGATGATGATGATGATGATGATGATGATGATAAAGATGGGGATGAGGATGACGATGAGGAGGATGAGGATGATGATGATGATGATGATGAGGATGATGATGATGATGATGATGATGATGATGATGATAAAGATGGGGATGAGGATGACGATGAGGAGGATGAGGATGATGATGATGATGATGATGATGATGATGATGATGATGATAAAGATGGGGATGAGGATGACGATGAGGAGGATGAGGATGATGATGATGATGATGATGATGATGATGATGATGATGATGATAAAGATGGGGATGAGGATGACGATGAGGAGGATGAGGATGATGATGATGATGATGATGAGGATGATGATGATGATGATGATGATGATGATGATGATGATAAAGATGGGGATGAGGATGACGATGAGGAGGATGAGGATGATGATGATGATGATGATGATGATGATGATGATGATAAAGATGGGGATGAGGATGACGATTAGGAGGATGAGGATGATGATGAGGATGATGATGATGATGATGATGATGATTATGATAAAGATGGGGATGAGGATGAGGAGGATGAGGATGAGGATGATGATGATGATGATGATAATAAAGATGGGGATGAGGATGACGATTAGGAGGATGAGGATGAGGATGATGATGATGATAAAGATAAAGATGGGGATGAGGATGACGATGAGGAGGAGGAGGATGATGATGATGAGTTTGATGGAGAGGATGAGGATGATGATGGTGGAGATTGGAGAGGGTGATGATGATGATGATGTGATCTTTGTAGTATTGATATTTTAACTTTTTTCTCTAGTGCTCTTTTTAAAATTCTTCGCGAACTAACTTACCGATCAATTTTGTGTACCAGTGTTTTTTTTTCAGTGATTAAGTGTGTTCATCTTGTCAGTGCTGGGTGTTAACAATGTACATTGAATATTCTCTTCATAGTTAATTTATGGCCATGAAATGTTAACAAGAAAGACACAGGATATTGCGCAGAAATTAAATTGCATGTATCCCGCCAGTTCCTAAATCAATTTTTGGATAGTACTAAAAATATCCCTCCTGCATACAATCTACATTTACATTGTCAGAACTACTGTATGTGTGATATTAAGTTCCCTTGTTGAGACTCATGTGGTGAAGCATAGGGTTCATGAACATGAACATAAACATTGAAAGTGCATACCACTTTTACACACTGTTTAATTGATATTGAACATGTAAAAACATACATCAGGGCTCCACACAAAATTTGTTTCACTGGGGATCTGGATTGAAATCTTTGTGTCTATCACTCTACATGTACATGTCGTCGGCCTTATGCCAAAAGGGCCTTAACTTCTTTTGGCCATTCCGAGATAATCGCGTTTAAAGGTTTTGGCCTCTCTAATAATCAAAAGTTTGTGGTCGTTTTTTTGTTTTTGAAGCCAATTTCGATAAATATGTTAAGTTATTAAGTTTTACATGAAATGTGTTAAATGTGTTATAAAATATTCAGAATTGTACATGCTATGTGCAAAAAACATGTTAGGGCCTTTTTGGCATAAGGCTTGAATGCAGCGTATTTATGCCAGAAGGGCCGTAACCTACTCGGCATTGTGCCCAAAAGGGGCGTAACCTACGCGTCGTTATGCCAAAAGGGCGTGCATAGTTAGCGCCCTTCTGGCATAAGGAAATTTTCTTATTTCGCAACACCTTTGGTTTGCCAGAAAGGCCCTCCTATGGCTATTGGATCACGAAAACTGATAAAACTGGTTAATTAAAATGTTTGAAAAAGTATTTTTGATATCTGAATATTTTTATTAATATAATGCAGCTTTCGGTAAAGTTATTTTTTAGAGATCGTACATTTAGAACACCTTTTTCGTTATTTATTTTTCATTACAGTCCCATACGTTGACATCTGCGTATTTCAACGAGTTGGTCGCATTTCATGCATCCATACCTAATTTAAATCTCACTCAGATTTCATGATCTAAATTCATGACATATACTTTCAGTGATTATTTTAAGTACATTGTGTCTATTCTAGACTAATCATGTTTTTAAGGGTGTTTCTACTGATATTTATTGAATTAAATGGAAATTACGAAATAATCTGTCATTGATAAAAGATTTGCCGTGTACTGTAGGTTAAGGCCCTTTTGGCGTAAGGAAAAAGATGAGATACGCGTTAAGGCCCTTTTGAAATTCATAATTATCTTCATAAATAAATCAAATTTCAACAAGTGAAGCACATCATTTTAAAGAGAATGATGAAATCTACAAGGTGATGTTAATAACTCAATAACCTCCAAAATTGGGTTAAGGCCCTTTTGGCATAAGGCCGACGATGTGTATATGCCTAGAGCTTTATGTAGGAATGTTGACATTTTGGGGGTCCGGTTGTAGATTGTGGGCGCCCATGTGTCCCAGGTGCCATTGCTTTAATAGTGTTGAGCCCACCATAAAGCATACTGTAGTTCTTCTGGGCAATATTGATGCTGGCAATTTGTAACTTAGTTCTGAAGACATGCACTGTACACGTGTCACTTTACGTACATGTATGATATCCCAGTCTCGCCTCTAAACCGACTCCACTATGACCAATGGGCAACATATTCAACTGTGGCCTAAAGGGGGGTATCCATTGTTTGGTCTCTTGGCCGTCTGGTGTTGGTCTTGTTAGTATGACTTGGGTATGGCTTGGTTATGGCTTGGGTATAACTATGGTCATTCATGTACTGTACTATTGAGCCTGGCAAATTGTGTGCACCATCTCCAGTATTCCCAACATTAAAATGCCTTTCATGTACATGTTCATACACAACATGAACCGGGCAATTAACCCCTTGAGTGCATGGAGCTAGGTCATTCCTGTACTGAGCCTACGCCTGTACACATGTATTGGAATGAGACGGCTGTCAACGGGTTAATGTACTCTGAAATTGTCTTTTTCTTCTGAGCATCTTGATTGTTGTTACAGAGGAGGTTCATGCTGTGGCTGAGATTGAAAACGAGATGGCTAATGAACAAATGAAAGTTCATACTGAACATGTACAATGTACATATTAGTGATTCAACATTGTGATCTGATGAGTAGCCAATGACTGATAATACATCCATGCACTTGTACACATGCACTTGTATGATGAGTGTACATGTACATGATGTATGAATGCCTCTATTTATAAACTGATGTACATGTAAACATGAAATCTACATGTATATGATGTGACCAGAATTTTTTTTTCGTACAAATATTCAGTCTACATTTGTAACAGGTATTATAATACAGCAACATATAATAATCTGATCTAATACGTTTGGACAGCTAGTGAGTGATCTTTGATGATGAAAACTAAATAATAATAATTCGATTTAAAAAGACCCTATTCCAGAGGAAACAAAGCGCTGTCCCTTAATAGTCTAAGGAAAAAGTAAGAATCGTAGAGGTACATTGTACAGATATTTGGTAAAGAAGTCGAGTGAAGTACTATTTCTCAGCAATGCAAGGAGTTTATTTCAAAGGCGCGGGGGTATTATGATTCAAGATTGTTTACATATAAAATTACAATACATAAGGGCCACCTGTCTATTATTTCCTTGTATCAGTCGAGTGGTATACATGTACATGTGCATGTACATATACAGGTTTCACCGTGCTTATTGTTTTTTGACACGGTCCTTATTTCTTGTGTTTAGATCCAGGATGGGCCTCCCTGAACCGAGGTGTCCTGATCTGTGACGAGTGCTGCAGTGTTCACAGGAGTCTTGGAAGGCACATATCTCAGATCAGAGCCCTCACTCATGGACCCCTTGGCCACGCAGCCTCTATGAGGTAAACACTTCCATTTCTCTTAAACTATTTCTTTATCAACATCCAGTTGGAACAGCAGAAAAAAAGCATTTGTTGGTCTTTCAAGATGTTGTGCTCAAAATGAGGAACTCAGTTCAAAACAAAATCTGTTAATAATTCTGTCTGAAAGATTGTCTGCAAACATTGAAAGTACAGTATAACCTGCTTAATGACTATCTTCATGAATAGAAAACCCACCCATCAAACTTAACTACATCTTTTGTATCTCTTGAATAAATAATCTCATTGAAATTACCGCTATTAAAGGAACATTGACAGTATACATGTATATATTTTTATAAAAACCATCTTTCCTTGTCTACCTTGGGTGGTCTTCATACAGGTTCTGCCAGTGGCTTACACAGGATTTATTTTTAAGATGGAGGGGGTTAAATCTGGCCAAAAATTTCGTAACAACTCAGCCAGCCGCTGAATAAGCGGGGGGGGGGGGGGGGGGGGGGGGGGGGGGGACACTTCTTACGGGAGGGGGGGGGGTCCCAAAAAAAAATCACAATGACTCAGTCACCCATTGAATAAGCAAGGGGGGGGGGGTGTCAGATCATCTTTTTTAGGTCATCTATAAGGATATAAGTATATAATTGATGATCCAACATGCTCTACCAACAGTTAATTCAATTTGTTTTAATATTTGCTCCTCTCTCTTTCAGGGCCATTTCTCATAAGATTATTGCTTTTTCAATGGGTCCTTTCCATGTTCCATACTGTACATGTATTTTATATTATTGTTTGTGGTATGTACATGTATTAATGGTCATAAAATATCTTGAATCTTGAGCTTTAGTTCTCCAAATATGTAAGGAAAGGGACTTATATGTACTGTACCTACTACCTAATAGGTTTAGGGTTCCGTGTATTTAATAGTGAGGTCAGAGTTAAGAATTTGCTTAGTATAAAAATGCAGAACAATGGTCGATGGAAAGTACATGTAGTTTGACGTACGATTATATAATTTCATATGCCAGTTATTCCTATCTCTTCCTTCTTCTTTTCTTTTAGATGGTGCATGCTCTTGTTAGCAATGGAGCCAACTCTATCTGGGAGCATTCACTTCTGGATCCATCGCAAGTCAGGAGTGGCAAAAGGAAACCTAACCCCAAGGACTCTGTCCAGTGAGTATGCGTTCATATTTTACAACGCATTTATAAAAAAAGATTGGCAAAGTTCATAATATATATTGCAAAATATCATCCCAAAATACCATTTATCTATCCTTCAAGTATGCATTCAAACCTTGCAGACTTGTTATCATTTACCTAATATCCTTTGAGTATGCATTCAAAACTTGCAAACTTGTTATCATTTATCTATCCTTCAAGTATGCATTCAAACCTTGCAAACTTGTTATCATTTATCTATCCTTCGAGTATGCATTCAAACCTTGCAAACTTGTTATCATTTATCTATCCTTTGAGTATGCATTCAAACCTTGCACACTTGTTATCATTTATCTATCCTTTGAGTATGCATTGAAACCTTGCAGACTTGTTATCATTTATCTATCCTTCAGGCCTGATAAAAACCTGATTTAAATCTGTTTCCCGTTTTTTTTAAATTTTTCCCGATTTTAAAAAAAAAAAAAAAAAAAAAAAATCCAGATTTTTTTTCTTTTTTTCCTTTGAGTATGCATACAAACCTTGCAAACTTGTTATCATTTACATGTATCTATCCTTTGAGTATGCATTCAAACCTTGCAAACTTGTTATCTTCTATCCTTCCTCTAGGAGGAGAGGTTCATCCATACACATGTACAATGTACTGCACATGTACTGTGCTCTGAGGCAGGTCCGGCAGGGTTTTGTAATGGGGATGGGGGCGGGGAGGTTTAGCTTAAAAGGTTTGCCTTTCCCATTAGTCAGGTGCATTTCTCATTTCTTGAGTTATTTATTGTATGGTACACATTTTAAGGTTGGGGGGGGGGGGAGGGGGGTTTGTTAATGACTGGTTGTGTCTCAACCAGTGCATGTAATTTTATGGCACTAAATGCAAACAATTTTAGAACATGTACATTATGTTGACATGCTTCTCTTTTATCATACCTAATACATACACTTGTTGAATTGTGTTTGTGTCAAGTATTTTGACTTATTCTGATAGAGCTGTGAGTCATCTTGTCCTGAAGCTGTGTTTCATTGTATACATATATATATATATAAGATATCAAGTGGGTTGATTGTATCTGAATACTGAATGCAAACATCTCTGCTCTATATTGATTCCATCTTGTTTGTGTGCAAGATATTACTTTGACATGATTCAAGCAGGATGATGAAAATGATCATTTTAAAATTTACATGCAAGTATGTACATGTACATGTACATTACACCCCTGTACAAAACTAAAGAGTATTACACACACAATTCCTTTTGACTGATATATTTAATCTAATTTTACTTATACAGTCTGGGAGCCATGCAGTTGAATTGTGTTTTTGTCAAGTATTGTGAATTATTCTGATAGAGCTGTGAGTCACTGTCCTGAAACTGATTTTCATTGTACATGTACTGTACATGGGATATCGAATCGGTTCATTGTCTCTGAATACTGAATGCAAACGTCTCTGCTCTCTAGAGATTCCATGTTGTTTGTGTGCAACATGTTGACATGATTACAGCAGTTCTAAAATTTACATGTACTGTAAGCATGTACATGTACATTACACCCCTGTACAAAAATATGAAGTATTAAAAGCACACAATTTCCTTTGACTTAAAGGTAAAGACCAGTATTGGAAACGCCCCAATTTCAAAATATGAAATGGAAGCTCTCATTACCAATCATGTGAAAGAATATGTTTTGACTAATACATGATGATAAAAAATTTGCTGGGAAACCGCCTACTAATTCATATATTTGGTAAATTTGTTTCTCTCATGGTCTGTGAGAGATATAGGGTAGTCCCATATACATCTTTCTGTGTATAGTGCTTGTAACTTTACGAAGAATGGGCCAAATTTCTTATCATTTTGATGATTCCAGAACCTTACAGATGCTAGATGCTAGATGATCAACCTTTTCTGATCGATTCCACAACGTTTCTTTCACAATGCAATCGCATGACCATAACTGGTCTTTACCTTTAATTTTAAATGTGTAACTAATTTTACTTTCAGTCTGGGAGCCTGTCTCAAAATACACTGTACATGTAGTCACCCTGTTTCACCTATAACTAAGATTCAATCCCTCAAAGTTAAAGACCGTCTATGTTAATTGCCAAAATGGTTATCAACCCGACCATGTCCATTGCGTTTAGCGGCCGTTAGAGGCTCAGAGCCCCCAAAACAGACCCCAAAACAGTTTTTATCCCACCTACCCCATCCACCAAAATTTTAGTACGAAGTACATTGTACATGTACATGTACAATATGATTACAAAACACAAGTCATTTTTTTAAATACTATTTACTTTATTACAGAATTGTCATAGTCAAGTGGTTTAAGCACTTGACTTGAAATTCAAAGGTCCTGGTTCGAGTCCCGCTGCGGCACTCATGTCCTTTAGCAAGGCATTAATCTACATTTGCAACACTCGACCCAGGTGAAGTAAATGGGTACCTGGCAGGAATTAATTCCTTGAAATGCTAGAGCGCTGTATTGGCAGCTAAGCTATAAAAGCCAGGATAATAATTCAATAGTGCACCTAGGAATAGAATTATCTACATGTACATGTAGATAGACAGCGCTATACAAATGCCTATCATTATTACTCCATTGATTGGGAAAAATAGCCTTTAAGACTTCCTCTTTCCTTGTTATTGTTCTTGTTCTGTGAATTGTACATGATTCTCGGTTGCATGGAGATGACTCATGGATATTTTGATTTGATTTGATTTGATTTATTGGTTTCTGCATCTTGTTTTTTCTTTTTTCATCATACATTTTCATGAACATAATATGGTTTGATACAATATTGTAAGTGTATATAATTTTATACAGATAATGAACGAATTTAAACAAATATATTGAATGCATAATTAACATACATTAGATGCAGGAGGGCTACAGAAATAAGCAAATTACTTTGACGTGCCCGCAGCCCTCAACTTAGATACAACAACAATAACAAATACAAATAGAAAAGACTGACTTGCAGAGAAGAAAAGGAAAGGGGAGAGAAGGAGCGTTGGTAATAACACAATGTACAATGTATACATGTAGTTTGAAGAATGAAAATGAATATGACCATTAAAGGTGCATTGCCCTTTAAAAATGTATTTTCAAGATTAAAACGATTATCAATATATTAGAGGGAGAAACTACAAAGGAAGGTTTTAAATTGCCTTAGTTTTGTCAATCAGGTCATAGAGATACCTTTATTTGCTTGTAATCCATACAATGTACATGTGTACATGTACTTTGTATTTTGTTTAGTACAGTAAAATGGGTTAAATAATCAGAACCAATCAGGTATGTTCCTAGATTTATAAGAAGTATTCTGATCCAAGAAATTGTTTGATTTCATCTTCAAATGCACTTAAATGAACTTTATCGTAACTTCTTAAAAAATACATTTAGATTTTTTTTTAAATTTAGACATGGTGCATAATTAACCTGAACATTTTATTATATTCATTTCTAGGTTGCATCAGTAAAAAATACATAATTTGTTCTTAATATTACAGTGAATTTCTTTTGTTGTAGATTATTTAAGGATTTCATGAAGCCAAAGTTAAAATAAATCCATTTTCGCTTTCCTTCATCAGAGCTTGACAGTTTTTAAAGAGTCCAAATCTGTAAATTTTACACACGGGCAAGCCTATTTAATTCTGTGTGCGTTGACCGAGCATCCTCCCGTAAGTGATTTCTTCCTCTGTTAAACACTTGATTAATGCAATGAGTGAGGCAGGATTAAATGGAAAATATCACAAATTGAATTGGCTCGTGGAGCGAGTGTGGGGATGCATGCAACATACATGTAGACTCACCCTGGGGACCTAAATTTAGATTTGGTCAATCAGCGCTGGCGGGCTTGCTCGCCAAACGACAGGCTAATAAAGGCGGTAGACTGCGGCTTTTGGAAATGTCAATGTCAGTTTGGGGGAAGTTTAGAGGATGGGGCTTGCATGTCTCCTACATTTTATGTGACTGTAAATTATGTAGACCGAATCTAACAGCTAAACAACATTAGAACCAAGTCTGCAGACTACTGTTATTCTGTATTCAAGTCAATGTATTGGTTTTTATTGCTTTCAGTAATGCATGTAATAGATAATAATAAAGCATAAGAAGTTCATACAGCTGTAAAGTAAACACACTTTACATTGCCCCCTCCCCAATAAACATATAAGTTAATTTCAAACAAATAAAGTAAATAGCATTGCTTGCCCCCTTCCCCCAATACATAAATAAGTTAAATTCAAACAAATAAAATTGATAAATAATTAATTGATAACCATTATTAATCAGGGGGGGGGGGTGGGAGTAAGCGGAGTAAATTCATGAAGACAGCAAGGAATCTGGCAATTAATGATGTAGATTTGACATAGTTGGCTTAAATGTACTGTACCTAGTTCCAATCAGGTGATTGAAAAATTACTTCTCAAACTTCAAAGTGTACAGGGCTTGTGCACCAAAGTACATGTAGACAGACATTGTGCATCATTGCATCATAAAGTCATATTTCCCCCCCTTCTTTTCTCTGTAACAGGAAGTATGTTAATCTGCCATCCCTTTAAATGTGATATCAGATTGTTTAGATTGTCTGCCTGTGTCGGAAATAATGAAATCAAATCTTGTGACAAAAACGTCATATTTTGATAGCTTGAAATGAGAACCTTTTGTAAAAACATACAGAACACTTGTGACTAATTTTTGTCTTAATATCAGAGAAATACACTGAGATATGAAGTGTACTCTCTTACTGTTAAAGGCTGCATTGCACATTTTATCCAAAAAATATTGGCAGTAAATAATGTACTTCTCTAGGCTAAAGGGCCCATAACATTTGATCTATAATTAACAAGATAATGATTAGTCTAAAATAAATAATTCCCAGTGTGGTCGCCTGAGTTTTACGTTGACAAATTAGATATTGGACATTTTACAGGTCCCATTTCTCCAGTTTGTGCTGATGTTACAGTATGCTTATTAGCTTTCCTCCTCAATTTGTTAAGGTCATTGGCATACTGCCATACACTATTCAATAGATTTCTCTTCCTGAGATCAAATCATGAACAATTAAAGGCATCGTTTAAAGGTATTACAAAGTTTGGGAAAATTTAAAAATTGGGTGGATAGTGATTCTTTACAATTTGATATATTTGGATGCCCCTGTGGATGTATTATAAGCACTAGAAAATTTAGCCCCTAAAGCACTTCTGCTTTCGAGAAAAATTGAATATAAAAAATTACCGGTGCTCCCGGTAAATATTTAGATAATTTAGATAAATTTCAAATAGCGCCTACGGCCATACAATGGTACATGTAGCTGCGACCATGAAAATCTCAGAATATGTAGTTGTGATATATAATTTCCAAACGAGAATAGCTAATTGGTCGATTTTAGTCAAGAAATATCGTTTCATAGCTTAATTGATATCTTGACCCTAAGAGGGAGCTATACAGCAAAGAGTTTATTAATTAAAATTTCATAAATTTAGACTCGATTTCAACCGCGACAACGATCACTGAATATTTTAGGATCGCATATGCTTCCAATATGTTCATTTGAACCAAATTCATGACCCCATACCAAAACTTTGTATTACCTTTAACAATGTTAAACCTGATATGCATGGCCCTGGTATAATGTATGGTATAATATTGAAGCCCTTAAAAAATTGCGCTCCAAATGATCATGAAGTGCCTCAAAAAATAAAAAAATCTTTGAGTGACCGGTTTTACCATACTCATTTACCCCAATAGACTAGTGATATGAAAACGGTTAGGAAAACAAATTTCTAAATTTTGATTTCCAATCATAAATATCTTGATAATCAGACAGGCGATCAGCTTGTAATGTCAAGGGGTTCTTGACTGACCTAAAGGTTTATAATTCATTATCATTGCAGCATGAGCAAAATTCAGGATTTGTTTCAGAATCTGAGACAAAGATACCCAATCCCTAATAATGTCATATTTATTGTTAGTGGTCAAATGGGATCAGCCTTTAAATATTTTTTTTTAAAGATATGAATCTTACTCTTAGTCAGTTGGTAAATGAACAGACATGTGAAGAGTGCCCTGACTTTTCTGTACATACAATTATTAGACAATACATGTACAGTGTACATGACTACTTTTGAACGTGCATGGAAGAAAGTTTGAACGAGCTTTGGAAACATATGAGTGCTTCAGAGTGCTCTTGTTCTCAGTTTGTCATAAATCAAAATTCTTTCAAAATCTAAATCTCACTTTCATTGTCACCCAGTCATACACAAATTTTGTGAAAAAGTGAATGTACAGTATTAGTGTCAATACATTTTATGTCTTAGATTTAATCATGGATTTTACGTTCATGGAAAATGTGTACACAGACAGTGCTGTCTAAAAAGTACAACTAATTGTTAAAATATTTTGTAAATTATGACTGTGGTCAATACTCAGTAGCAGAAAGAAGAAAATTGGCAATATCCGGTGCAGTTGAGTGAATAACTGGTATAATAGAAGGAGGAATTCCTCCCATAATGAAGTTACGCACCTCAAAGGTGGGGCTTGGACATTGACAAGTTTGAAACAAAAAAAAGTGTCCCTGAATGACATTTCTGAAGTTAAAATACAGATATCTACATTTACTTGTATAGTTAGCTCATGTTAAGTTAGAATGTTCAGTCTTTACTCTTTCATTTCTCTTTCTCTTTAATTTGTGCCAAGAGCTCCTCCAAGTGATCAAATGGATGGATAGATGGATAAATAATAAATGAATATATGATAAATGAATGAATGATAAATGAATACATAATAAATGAATAAAAAATGAATAATGAATAAAAAATAAATGAAAGAATAATAGATGAATAAATAATAAATGAATAAATAATAAACGAATAAATAATAAATAATAAATGATAAATAATAAATAATAAATAATAAATAATAAATACAGTCAAACCTGTCTGTAGCGACTGCCCAAGGGAAACACAAAAAGTGGTCTTTGTAGACAGGTTTCTTTAGTACATGTTTCAATGATAAACCATTTTCAAGGGAAACAACAAATGTGGTCTTTGTAGACAGGTGGTCACTAAAGCAGGTTTGACGGTATATGCATTCTAAATGAATGAATGAATGAATAAATAAATAGATGAAGAAATAAATAACTAAATGAATAATGTAATATACTTCATGCCCCAGTCGCAGTGAAAAGATGGATGCCAGACTGACAAAAAACTTACACTATCCCCAAGTTATCGTTTGGTTTGTAGTTGGTATGGCTGTGTTACTGGTGTTACAATCTAAATGGAAATCATTAACAGGAAGATCTTTGCCCTTATTCTTCAGAAACAAGATTGGACCTTGCTCAAGTTTACACCTTGTAGTTGTGAGTGCTTTATGGATGACATGAAGTGATATAAATTGACTGTCAATATTATTGTTTAACAAGTTAAGCAGGTTGATTAATTCATAAAGAGTTACCGTAATTCTATGTCTCATCCAAAATATATTTACATGACTGTGTACCTGTGACATTTTGAACAACCAGATGGTTCAGACACCTTCCACAAACATGTAATTGAAGTTAGCTGCCAGTTTATAGATGTCCAAAAAAAAAATGAAATTTCAGTTTGTCAGGCCATGTCTGAGGTACTGTATGAACCATAAACAATGACCAGGGGGGTGTTTCACAAAGACTAAGTTGACTTTAAGTTGGACTCAACTATGGCAGGCCATTTGTGCCACTAGTTGCTCTCAGCATTATGATCTTTAGATAATATTTTTCCTTGAATAATGGAACTATCAACAAATGTAAATTCTGTAGATTTGTGACCATGATTTGTACTTCCCTTGATAGACCAAATGCCAGTAAATGTTGAAAGCAAAAATCAGCAAAAGAGTGGCATGAATGGTCTGCCATAGTTCAGTCCAACTTAAAGTTGATTTTTGGTCTTTGTGAAACTCTCCCCTGTTCAGGGTAAAATCCCTCTGGATGTGTCATAGAACTACATGTAATTCCTAGTGTCAAGAATATTGTTTTAATCCACAATTTATGTCTAAAGATTATTTTGTTTGTTTGTTTTGTGCACAGCCCATTCAAGTCTGACTTCATCCGAGCCAAGTATCAAAGGTTAGACTTTGTCCACAGACTCAAGGATGGTGACGAGGCCACAGTCAAGGATCTTAGCAGAGTAAGTTTGCGACCTTCTTCGTGACCTCCTTTGTGACCTCCTTCCTGACCTCCCTCCTGACCTCCTTCGTGTCAATGAAAGCACCAAAATAATTTCACCATGATAGGGATATTTCATTGTCAGTTCAGGGCCCGTATTACGAAGAGTTGATATCAATTGCAACTTATTTGCGATTGATATCAATCCCAAAGATGTACATCTAAGAGATAGGAGACTGCAAACTTGCGATTGATTGGAGGACTTGCGATTGATTTGGATCAATCGCAACTCTTTCTAAAATGGGGCCCATATCTAACTTCGCATAAAAATAATTGATTTGCATGTTTACTAGTATTTCAAAGTTATATGTGTTTTAAGTAGACTGATTGTTTGCAGATAAATTGCATTTGTCATGAGACGCTCTAACCTAAATCTTTTTTCCATCTCCCTCCCTGCAGCAACTCCATTCCAGTGTCAGGACAGGCAACCTGGAGACTTGTCTGAGGCTACTCTCCCTCGGTGGACTCGCAAACTTCTACCATGCAGTAAGTATGGGGTCAAAGGTCACATGTAACTATTTGTAATGTGACCCTCAGTTTGTTTGGAGAAAATCCTCGCAAAATAATTGGAAAGTTCTAATTTTCATCTGGTTCTATTAATGTAGCAGGCATATTTTGGTCCATTTTTGCAACTGCTTCAAGTTTTTGACTAAGGATTGTTTTCAAACTGATTTTGTAATGGTAATTAATAATAACAAAAGCTCTATTCCTTTTTTACTAAGGGCACATACATGTACACACGTACGTGTAACATTTCCGAAGTCACAACAAGTAAGCGAATAGCCCTTTAAAACAAATTTATTTCATGCTTTCACACCAGGAGAAGAATGTTGAAATATACATTAGAGAAGAATCACAAGTACCGGTATACACCTTGCACAAAAAAAGATAATATAACTTTTCTTCCCCCTCTTCCTCGAGGAGAAAACTCTTTCCTAGGACACATGTAGGTAGCAAGTTAGTGAAGAACATACTCAGGTTTACATTAAATATGCAAGCAGAACCTTTCTTTGACTACAACAATATAATATTCCCTCCCCCCCTCCCTCCCCCCCTCCCCCCCCCCCCCAGGAGAGATGTAACACCCCCCTTCATGTTGCTGCTAAGGAGGGTCAGATGTTACAATGCGAGCTACTGATAGTCTACGGTGCAGACCCTGGGGCGCTAGATAGTGATGGGCAGACGCCGGCTGATCTTGCCAAGTGAGTATACACTTTAATCCTTGTTCACATATGACCTGGAACACCACTTCACAAAACCTCAGTCTGTAAAGAATAGAGGGAAGTTCACATAGTGGCGCTTTATATTTGTGAATCTTATAGCACACATATATAAAGTAGGCATCACTCTAGAGAGGCTTTTGCATGCATCTTCCATTTTTTTCACTGCCAGTCTCTTTGAGTTAGTTTATATGTGAACGGGTCTTTTTTTTAAGAAGATTTTTTAAAACTGAACCGCTTCCTAGAGTAAATGGCCCGAACTCAAAAAGGAGGTTTGTTGACAAACCTAGGTTTATGTGCATCATATGACGCATTTCGCTTGGTTTGAAACGCGTCGAAAGAGTACAGACCTTGGTTTGAAATGCGTCGAAACGCGTCATATTATGCACATAAACCTTGGTTTGTCGACAAACCTCCTTTGTGAATTTGGGCCAAAGTGTTTGGTGAACAATGAAATACTCTGTGCTGTTGGATTCAGGGAATGGTGGTACATTATATATTTGTTTGTTATAACCTGTGTATGCATTTGAAACTACCTATCAAGCCTCATTCAGGTGCCAAAGCTGTAAACCGCAGCATTTTTTTCAATGATGAGGTGAAGTGTGATAATACACTCCACATTTCTGAATCTTCTAACACAGAATAAGTCTCTTGTTGTGCGCAAAATAATGTGACAGCCTTTTTACGGCGGTTTACCTCGCCATATCTGAACAAGCCTTGACTATTCATTTACACACAAAGTTTTGCCGCGCGGGTGTTCTCTGCATCATGTCTGAATGGACCTTCTCAGCTATAAATGAAGTGTTGCACCTGTGTGAAGTATGCAGCACTGGTGTCAACGTCCCCTTCTTCAAAAGCTTGCCAGGAACTATAAATGGCCCACTCTATCTCGAGCCTGGACAGAAACTATAATCACAACTACCGCAAAGAAGAGAAGATGCCTACACTAGTGTGTTGGCCTTCCTGGTTGCTTTGCCTGTTTTAGTTTTCTTTAAAACATAACACCCAGATGAATTGATGATTCATCGAATTTCCATGTGGGAGAAAGAGAGAGGCCTGATTTCCATCAGCTGGTGTCACCTTGATTTCATCTATTTTCAACCGCTAATCTGCCTTAAAAGATCACTGCGGCAAATAGAAAATATTTAAGAAAAATGCTCTTCACATTCTTTATCTGAAATGACGAACATGCAATTTATTTACCTCAGTGTAACATTTGAAAGGGAGTGGCGATCATTTTCTTTAAACAATTTTCTGTATTAATCAGTGTAAATGAGTGACATCTAATCACTTTGATGTAAAGAAAATTATAACTTATTCTGTTTTGTGCAACCAGCAATCATGAATAAAATGCTATGACACACCCGTTGCTTAATAATCCAAGATGGCTTAACTCCTTCATGAATTATTTGGCCTCACTCAACATGATGCACTAAACTGCTCCAAAATATCACTGTGGCAAAATAAAAAATATGTAACCATGAAGCCTTTCACATTCTGTACATGTATCTTATAACTCCGAAATCACCTACTTGTAACTTATTAACGTGTAAAATAGTTTTATTTTCCATGGCATTTTTTCAACAATATCTTCCCCTATATCATTCATGAATCCACTCACTCTTGGCCTCGCTATGAATGTTAGCAAATTGGCAATGCAAGATATGTCATCGATATGTGTCCTGGGTTTCAGGTGCTCAGCTTAGGTTTCCACCAACTATTTTCAGATTGAAAGTATAGAAATACTGATCTGTATTTCATGAACCCTGGTATGCCCTTGGGATGTGCTAAAATATATCAGGAACGATGACGCACTGTGCCCTGATATGAAACCAGTTTATGAAGGTTTAATTATTCTTGCCTCTCATTGTGAAGCTCTTAATTTTGACCCCCCCTCCCTCCCCCTCCCCCTCCCCCTCCCCCTCTCCCTTTTATGCCTCCGCAACCAAGTAGCCGGATGCATTATGTTTTTCGACATGTACATGTACAGTATTGTAGAGCCAATGAACTACCGGTAATAAGGTTTTGGGGTCATGGGATCAAAGGTCATGGGGCTCATTATGTATGCAAAAATAGCTTGTGATCGCATTATCATTAGAACCGATAGACGGATTACCATCAAACTCAAGACATCTATGTATCTTGATGAGCAAATGAACTAGTTAGATTTGGGGGTCATGAGGTCAAAGGTCATGGGGCTCCATATGTACATGTATGAAAAATAGCTTGTGATCTCATTATCATTAGAACTGACGGACAGATTACCATCAAACTCAAGACATGTATGTATCTTGATGAGCCAATGAACTTGTTGGATTTTGGTGTCATGAGGTCAAAGATCAAAGGGTCATACATGTACATGTATATGAACAATAGCTTGTAGTCACAGTATTCTGAAAACCTGTTAATGGATTACAATCAGACTTGACTTGTAAAAATTGCTTCTGCAGTCAAAGATCCATCTATTTTTTTCTTCATTTTTCTTATTGTAGGGATTTCCCCTTGATTTCCAAGTCTGTTTGTTGGCTTTGAAGGTATGAATGAGATGAGGAACACATGTCCCACTTGCCCCACTGAGTGCTGCGGTTAAGTGATCATCTAGGAGGGGTACATTGGGTTATCGGGTACTGAAACTTGGCAGAACAAGGGAACATATGTGAAAGACAATGCTGAAAGGGCGAGTCAACTTGAAAAGGCAACCATGAACACATGTCTTAATGGGATCATTTGGCCAAGGGTTGGATCAATAGATCAGTTCAGATAACATGGTTGCATAACACATAGAAAATGGGTGTTCTTGTGTACTCTGTAGATGCAAGACAATCGTAATGTGCAAAAGAAAGGGCTTTTTTGCAGGTTCCTTTTCATGCCCTCTGCCTTGTTGGCCGTTGTTTAACATTAAATTAAGTTGACTTGAAGTATTCTTTTCTTCTTTTTTCCCCTTTTTTTCCTTCTAAATAATTGTATGGAGTGTCATTGCTACATGTTGAGGGGGTGGGATGCATATGCCCCTACCTTCTTCCCTCCATTGAATGGTGAAAGACATAAGATAAAATAGGAAAAGAGATTGAGAGACAGAAAGGAAGAGCCAGAAGGGAATGTGAAAAGAATATTATTGAATCCCTTCCAACAATCTCCCCCTTAACGACTTAGCCACTTAGAGCCTCTTCCCCCAAACTCCCCCCTCCCCCTCCCCCTCCCCCCTCCCCCCCCCCCGCTCCACCCCCCCCCCCCCCTCCATCCCCTCTCCATCCCCTCTCCATCCCCTCTCCTCCCCATCCCCTTCCCATGATACCAGCACTCCCTAACTGACTGGATCCAAACTACCTTCACCGCATACTGTATGTAAAAGTTATATTTAAAAGTTGTGTAAATATTTCTATTTTTGTTTCCTTTCATTTTCAGGGATGAAGGTCATTTGGAGGTCGCAGAGAGACTGGTTCAATGCCAATATGAACTCACCGACAGACTCACATTCTTTGTGTGTGGAAAAAGACCAGGTACACTTAGTAGTGATAACAGTGATGATGGTGGTAGTGATGATGGTGGTGATTGTTGGTGATGATGATGATGTTGTTTTAAGTGGTGATGCTAAGTGGTGATGCTAAGAGTGATGCTAATGAAATGGATAGTAGTAGTAATGGTGGTGGTGGTGGTGGCAATGATGATGATGATGATAATGGTGTGTGATAGTGATGATGATGATGTTGTCTTTAGTGGTGATGCTAACAATGTTGATATTGGTAGTAGTGGTGGTGGTGACAGTGATAATGATAATGATAATGGTTTCGTAATATTGATGATGATGTTTAAAATGATGATGATGATAATAATGATTTTGATGATTATAGTAAGGATGATGGTGATGATGGTGATGGTGGTGAGGATGATGATGATAATGATTTTGATGATTGTTATGATGATGGTGATGATGAAGGTGGTGATGGTGGTGATGATGATGATAATGATGTTGATGATTGTTATGATGATCGTGATGATGATGATGATGGTGGTGATGATAATGATTTTGATGATTATAGTGAGGATGATGGTGATGATGTGATAATAAAGATGATGATGATGATGATGATACAGGTGATCATGGTTGTTTTTCAGGAACCAGTATCTCAATGATATAATGAAATATTCTGTATTCTTCTTCTTGTTCCTTTCCACTTTCAGATCACTCATCTAGCACTCATTTCTTGATCCCTGAGATGGCCGATGGTTCGTTGGACAGATCGGATGCCGCAGACCAGGCCAGGAAAAAGCTCCAAAGTGTAAGACTTTCATTTAAGTATTACTCCATGAAGATGTTACCAGAGCAGGGGGGTGTTTCACAAAGATCCTAAGTCAAAATTAACTCTAAGTTGGACTTAAAAATTATGGAGAGCCATTTGTAGCCTTTTAAAAAAAAATATATTCAAAAGCAAAAATTCAAGTATTTTATACATTTTATTAATTCCACATTGATCAAGAACATGAAATCTCCTTGATAATAGAAAATATGAATGATTGGAATCAACATTTTATGCCTTTAAAAATAACTTTTCATAGATGCTAACAGCTTTCCATAATTGTTAAGTCCAACTTAGAGATAAGTTCAACTTAGGATCTTTGTGAAACACCCCCCCCCCCACTTCCCCAGGAGAGATGTAGAAGAAATGGATTTTGAAAGATTTGGCATAACGTTACTTTGTCTTGATATTGTTGATTACTAAAATTGTTTATAACTCATCTACTGTATGTGTCCAAAGATGTCCTTCATCTGCACATACTTTAAAGAAAGAATTCTTGTCATTAAAGTCCAATTTTGATAAAATCAGTACCCTCAGTACCGGCATTAGATGCTTATAAAGTTAACAATGGGTGGGTGTTGTGGATACTTTCACTTCTTGTAGGTTGGTAAATTTCCCCACATTTTCAAGTACATTTCAAATGGGATACTCATTTCTTCTCATTTGCCTTTTGAGAATTCACATGCACGATGCGATGTAAAAAATATTGACTGCCAATTTTTTTGGTTATGGTTCAAAACGGTAGCTCCTCTGTGATCTTGAGCCTGCACCATGCCCCTCGACATCTTCATGGGCGCACTGTCCATCTTCAAGATCACCTCGGGGTCATGTTAAGATGTGCACTCGTTCCCTTTGTATTGTATTGTATTATTTATTCGGCACTTTCAAGAAATATAACAATTTAACAATATAAACATGGTAAATACAAAATTGGAATGACAAAAAATGTGCAAATACAAATTTTTGTAGCAATATTCTGAGTGCAAAAGATGGCGGCCAGGGAAGAAGAGAGCAAACTTAATTACTGTAACCGTGAAGGTCCCTCCGCCCAACCAACTGATGCACTCAGAAGACTGGTAAAAATATAGCATAAGGACAAATAAGACAGTAACAAATCAAGGATAAACAATAAAAATATAAAGAAAGGCGAGGCACGAGCATATGTAACGCCAACCTAGAATTTATAGATAACATATTACAAATTTGCAATTTCAATAACATATTACAAATGTACAATTTCAATAACATAATAGCATTGACTCTCCATAGAAATATAATGTAACTAGCATGTTCAGTATTTATACTGGGGTTTTCTTTACCTGATTAAATGCTATCAAAATATTACATGTATATTAAATAACTTTGAAATAAAATAAAATGAAACTATTATCCAGACTTATGACACATATCTGGTTGATCACATATTATATAAATGAAATTGAAATTGAGATTATTGAATTGGAAATTGAGGTCCAACAGAGTGCAGAAGACTGTTAAAAAACACAGCATACGGACAATAAAGAGAGTAACAAATCAAGGATAAACAATAACATAAAAAAAGAAAGAGAGGAAAGAGCAAATGTAAGCCAATATAAAAATTAAGTACACATTATATACATGTATTACATAAGAAGGTTCACAAGCTTAATGATATACCCGGTTATAATGCCATGGTTTACATTTACCTAATTAAATGTTATCAAAATATTTCATTAAACAAATTTGAAATAAGATGGAATCATGTTTCGGACTTATATCGCATATTAGACACGTAATTTATAAATAAAACTTAAATTGAAATTATTGAATTGAAAATGCCTGTATCAGCTTTATACACTGATGTCGAGGGATGAGAGGTGAGTTTTGAGGCTTTGTTTCCAATTGACGAAGTTTACTAAGATAAGGTCATTAAGGTCCTTGAGCCTATAAAACAGCCAGGCCTCCCAAAGCAGTCGATATCTCTATACTGACCCCCTCAAAGCAGTCAATATTTGTATATGATTTTCTCTTTGTCTCTTCCTCCTCTGCAGTTGAGTAATCATTTATTTGAGGAGCTGGCCATGGATGTCTACGATGAAGTGGACAGAAGAGAACTAGATTCTCGTAAGTTGTATTTTTATCCTCTTCTTTGGTGGTCCTGGCAAGGACCGACTCATGTCCTCCATTCCTCTGCGTCATTGGACCATTTTGGGGGATTTTTTCTCCATATTAGATTGATTGATTCAAATTTGTCTTGTTTATCTTGTCTAATACGAAGGATGTAAGTTGTGGTGTCCCACAAGGTTCTATTTTGGGCCCGCTTCTTTTTCTTATTTATATCAACGATTTCTGTAAGTCTTTCAAAGTTGTTTTGTCATCTGCACTAGCATTTGGCCTACTTCTTCAGTCGTTTGACACATGCACCAGCGTCAATTGCTCTACAGTCAATACAATATCCTACTCCCAAACAGTTCTGAACATCAACCCTCGACCAACCCCAGGGTGTACATTCAGAACCCTAAACCTAAACTAAAACCCAATGGAAACCCTAACCCTTGTTGATGCATCACCTCTTTACCTTTGTCACACATTATCTTCTACCCCTTTTAATCATCTCCTTCTGCTCTGTCTTCCTTTCTTATCAGTGATAAATTCTTCATCGGTGATTACATCCTTTTAAAGTTTTTGTTCTTGTTCATACAGGCCTGATAAAAACCCGATTTAAATCGGTTTCCCGATTTTTTTAATTTTTTTTTCCCGATTTTTTTTCTCTTCCCGATTTAAAAAAAAAAAAAAAAAAAAATCCAGATTTTTTTGTTTTGTTTTACCAGATTTTTGTTTTCTTCCCTATTTTAACCTGATTTTCCCTATTTCTCCCTTATTTTCTCTATTCTTCCCTATTTTGCCCTATTTTCCCCCTATTTTTTTCCCAATTTTCTTACTCGAAAGGGGGGAATGTTGTTAAATACCATTTTTTACCCGCGAATCCTCTTCTTTTTTTTTACTCAAGGGGGGGGGGGGGGGGGGGGGGGTGTGGTTGAGGGGAAAACAAAAAACCTATTTTTTTTTTAGTGCTCACTATCACCCCTGTTCATATTAGGTTAGAACATATGTCTATCGTTATTCTCTATATGATTTATGTGTATGTTGTTGAGTGACTAAAGTTGATTTTTTTTGTTCTTCTTTTTTTCTTCTCCTCTTCAAATGTATGTCATTACATCAACTTAAGAGAGATTGCCAGAAAAAGTGCATCAGCAGAACACTGCATCAAATTCTAAATAATGCACTGGTTTGTAAACTGAAACCTGACTTCAAAACAAAGAAAGCCACAGATGCATTGATTGTATGGATACTGATTCGTGCCACATTGAACATTAAATCAAAATTTAGAGCTCATAATTGCACTTGTAAGAGCCCATTAACTTTACGAATCAGCCTGCTTGCATAAAACCAAGAAACACATTATATCTTAAAGAAAGATGCAACTTATACAAGTACATTGTACCAGCAGGTGCCAATATCAGCATTGATTATAACATATATTGCATTGTATATGGATCTTGGATCTTGAATCTATATTGGACCTCTGACTGTGTCATGCTTATTTTGGGATAAATTTAGACCACGGGTTATGTAAATAAAGATGTAAACCATGGGTTAAATTTAAACTTCCTTTGTGAATTCGTGCCATTCATTGTATTTGTAAATGTTGCTCAAGAGAGTTAAGAAAAATTGTCTTTGTAGTCAAGTAGTCATTATGCACATATTACTTTCATGCATGAATCAGTTAGGAACGCAATTTAATGTAAACAAAAGATGCTGTCTTTATAAAGAGGCGATCATTGCGTACAAGTCGCTACTAAAGCAGGTTTCCTTGTACAGTGTATACATCTCCGTGCATTAGAGAAGACAATAAGAGTTAGATTTATAAGAAAAGAACATATTTTGTTTAAAGCGGGACTGCACTACTTGTAGCTACTTGGGCCTTCTATATAGTAAACAATGCCTTCGCGATAGCCGTTGGTCCACCCATGATCCCCTTTTTCTTATGTTAATTGAGAGATTATTTGATGAGATCACCATCTGTCAGTGACCAGGCAGGGAGGTCTAATCCCTCCTGGCCAAACTAGTGCAGATAGGCTTTAAAATGATAATAATAATGATAATAATAATAACGTTTTATTTACCCAGGGTAGCCACTTCAGTTATAAAACTGCTCTCCCAGCGGGCCCTGCATAACATAACATGTTACTATTACCCTTCTCCAATCTAATATGCTGAGCGCCTAGCTAGAAGGCAGAAGGTCCCATTGTTATAAGTCTTTGGTATGACTCGGCCGGGGATCGAACCCACGACCTCTCGTTCATGAGGCGGACGCTCTTACCATTGAGCCACCATACCCGGTTCTGCATTGATAATGATAATGGTGGTATTCTCATAAGTAAAGCCGGGCCAAAGTCCAGTCTAAACAATAATTTTAGTTCACAATTCTATGGAATGCTAGGTTTCATCTTCCTACTTCAATATTCATGACAAAGATAATCTACCAAAGACTTTGTTGAAATTCAGTTCATACTCATATTATCTTTTTCTGCCCATTTCATTCCAAAATTAAATTTGTGGACACTTTTCATTGAATGATTAAAATAATCTGTACAAGGTAAATGAGTTGGCAACAGGCGCTCCATAAAAATGTGGACTAACTTAGTATGCGCTAACTTAGTACCCGCTACCGGAATACCACCCTATGATGATAATATGCCTTGTTTACCCTGGTTATCCTCATCAGTAATGTCTAATGATACTATTCTACAGGGGGAAAATACTTTTAAAAATTTGGGGGCTACTTTTCAAGCTTGCTTGCATGAAAATAGCACTCTTTATTTTGTTTTGCATTGAACTCTATGCAATTTTGGGGGGCTCTTTTTTTTTTACTTTCGGGGGCTCTTTTTGGCATTTCAGGGGCTAATTTGCCCCGAGCCCCTGTGTATTTTTTCCCTGCTATTCTACTTGAGAGCCCTGCAATCATATCACTACCCCCGGTTTAGCTACGTTAACTACATTATTCCTTTTTGACATTTTTGTATTTGCGTTTTCTTGTATGAACAGTGTGGGTATCATTGAACAAACCTAGTCTGGTTGGAGGTGATAGCTCCATGCCCTTTCTACCACTCAATCCGGAACTCTCTGCTACAAGGAATCAGGTTAGAAATATGTTGTTTTTTGCAAAAATCCATTTTCGTAATGTAACCAAATTTATACTTCTACTTATACTCATGTCAAATTTTTTTTTATATAGGATGAAACAAATGGATAAATAGATTTCAAGGAATAATCCTTGTAGATATTGTATCATGCGAATGTGCATGTATGCATTCTTCACTTTATACATGTAGTTCAAAGGTCGCAAATGCGGATTTAATATCATGCCGCAGGATGATAATGCTGAAGCAGGGATTGGAACCCTAAACCTTGTGATCTGCGGACTTGTCCACTCGACCATTATGTGATACTATTCAAAGGAATACTGTTTAGAAATAATCCATGTAAATGTCGTTGTTTTATTCCTCAAAAATAGAAAGGATATGGCATTCCATGGATGATGTATAATATTATTATTATTATTATTATTATTATTATTATTATTATTATTTATATACTGCGCTTTTCCCAGAGCGGCCCAAAGCGCTTACAACAAGAAGAATTCTACAAAAAATGAAAATGAAAACTTGCAGAATCCTAAAAATCTGGATTACAAAATATAAATGTTTTAAGTCCCTTTTTGTAAGAAGGGACAGATGGTGATTGCCTGAGTATTAAGGTTAGTCTATTCCAATATTTAGATGCAGTTATAGTGAAAGTCCTATCTCCAGCTAGTTTCCGTGTGATGTTGTATGTAAGACGGAGTGGGTCACTGGACTTCAATCCTTGAAGAGGACCTAAAGCTGTTGGTCCTCTGGTTGTTCACTAACAAGCATTTATGCTTTCCTAGATGTCAGGTAAAATAACCACCACTAAACACTTTATCTTCACTATACTACATGTACCTTTTCTGGAGGTGTTGTGGACTAGTGGATAAGTCACCCGACTACAGATCACAAGGTACAGGGTTCAAGTCCCGCCGCGGCACTAATGTCCTTTGGCAAGACGTTACTTGTACATGTACTCTACATTTGCCACTCTCCACCCATGTGTAAAAGGGTACCTGATATGCTTGAGCGCTAGTTACTTTGGCTGTTCGGCTACGACCAGGGTAATATTTGTAAAGAGCCATGAGCATCGGAACCTGACAGATACTGGCGCTATATAAATAACCATATTATTATTATTTTCTATGAATGCAGGGAAGACAAAAGCTAGCCAGGTTCAGCGCCAGAGAGTTTGCTACTCTCATCATCGACATCTTGAAGGAGGCCAAGAGGAGACAGCAGGGGAACCTGACCCTGTCAAGGCATGGAGGTAATTCATTGGTCCCACAGGGGATTTGAACCTAAGACCTTCTTATTTAGTGATATTTGAGATTTAGTGCCAGAATTTTGCTAAACTCATTATCGACATCTTGAAAGAGGAGACAAAGGAAGTTTTCCCTCCCAAGGCATGAAGGTATTTTTTAAATGAAAGTCTTCTGTACATTTGACTTTCAACTTTGGTTTTAATATGCATATTTATTGTGACGCCTTAATTCTTTGTCTTTGCTATACAAGTCCCTCTTTCCTCCTTTAAATTAAATTTATTCTGTCTCTTCTTGCTTTCCTTTTGATTTGTTTTCTGTTCTTTTCTCCTCTTTTCTTCTACTCTTCACTTTTCTATCCTCACTCAATTCTTGTTTGTATCTTTTCCAATTTGTTTTCTTTTCTTTTGATGGAAAGTTTTATTCTTTCTTTTGTCTGTACAAGAAGCAATCATACATGTATGTCGATTCAAATTACACCCATGTATCACTAAAGACAATATGGAATATCCCCACAATATTTAGCTATGAACTTGAACTTGAACTTAGCGTTGCTGCGATGTACATGTATCTTATTATGACCCTTTAAATGAACAATGTTGTGGACTGAGTGCGGTTGTACGACACTTGCTATTGCGGCAATGGCTCAGCGTGAATTTCTTAACTTCAAAACTGCACCCAACACTGTACCTAAACCTAACTCTAACCCTAAACCTAACCTAAAACCCAATTGCAACCCTAACTCTGATACTACATTTTTGACCAAAAAAAGGCTTGAGCAACCGGCATTGGATTTGGATCACCACTGAGCATGGACATTGCGAAAAACCTGCAAAAAAAAAATCTTCAAAATTGTTACAGCCCCTTTAAGCACCGAACATTGATCTTTTTTTCTCCATGGTGTAACAGTGATATACTGTATGTAATTACAGCCAGTTACGTGAACGATGTAGAGGACTGTGAACAGATGGCTTAAAAGTGCAACAATATTTGGTTTCATTGCAGTCCCTTTTAAAGGCATCGTTTAACAATGTTAATCTGAGATGCATGACCCTATGTATTATCAGTGTCTGTGAAATATTGAAGCCCTAAAAAATTGCGCTTCAAAATGATCATGAAGTGCCTCTAAAAAGTAAAAAAATCTTTGAGTGACCAGTTTTTCCATACTCATTTCCCCTAATAGACTGAAGTGTTATAAAAACCGTTAGGAAAACAAATTTTTGAATTCTGATTTCCAATCATAAATATCTTGATAATCAGACAGGCGATCGGCTTATAAAAGTCATGGAGTTCCTGACTGACCTAAAGGTTCATAATTATCATTGCAGCATGAGCTAAATCCAGGATTTTGTTTCAGAATCTGAGACAAAGTTGCCCAATCCCTTTAAGCACTAGAGGTTGAAAGCTCCCTACGGATCACAAATCCTATTCTCGACCTCTCACATCCTCCCCTATCCAAACATAGCCTTTATCTTCCCAATTTCCTAGCCAGCCTTTGATATCACATGCTTTAAACCCTTTTGAAGAAGAGGAGGAAATATCCAATTCAATCAAGTCAGGGAATGAGCAAATAAAATGTGCCTTGTCGCTTCCCCTCAAAGAAGAAGGGGAAGAAGAAGGAGGGGGAAAAAAGGTCCTCTACTGTCCTTCGAGGGACTACAGCGAGTGGCTCATGTAGGTTGGTAAGTCGGTACGTAAAACCTTGAGATAATGTACCACTTCTTTCGGACAGGAACATGGGAGACTGTGTGACTTGTTAGTGTGTAATGCTTGGATTTTTACAAAGTTTCTGATAAAGGTTCTGCAGGAAATTTTTCGAGAGAGCTGCCGCTCGTTCCTTGGAAGTGCTCCTTTTCATATCGTTGTCCGGCTGGCAATGGGCGTTAGCACGCGAGCGACTCAAAATCTACTTTTCAAATTATTCCCATTTAAAGATTTGTTTTATATTTAAACTGCTTTCCGCCCTGAAAATTAGTTTAAAACTTAAAAGACTAATAGAAATGTTATAGTAGAACACGGCCACAATTTTTGTCCAGAAATAAGTCAGTTTTTTAAAAAAGATTTTTTTTTTTTTACGGTTTTTAGAGAAAAAAAATCTTTCATTCAAAACTGAGAAATATCCGCCCAAAAAGGGAAAAATGGAGAAGAAAAAAAAGAAAAAAAAAAAAGATTTCCAACCGACCGACCCATGTTTTGGCAACTAAAGGGCAATACAACATATTTTTTGTTATAGGCCTTGTCAAATCTATTTTAATTCAAATTCATTGAATTTCCAGATCAAGTTGAGATTGTTCGAGAACCGCCACCAGTCCCTCCGGCGCCCGAGAAGTCCCCCACATCGCCCAGCAACATCGCATCCTACGACGAGGACAATGAGCCCCTGTACGACAGCGTCTGCTCCGACGATGACTACGGCGAGGTGGCCGAGAATGCCAACTTGAAGAACGGAGGCAACGTGAACCTGAGAAACCGCTCAAATCAGAACTCAACGGTAAGCCCCAATTCAGTTTTTCTTGCACCGTGCACACTCGCATTCTATTATAATTTTTATGTGACAATGCTATTATCTACTTCACCGTGGCACCTCACACTGACACACAGCATATCGAGGGGTCAGTGACACAAAGACGTAACTCCATTTTGGCCATTTTGAGAAAAAGGGGTTTACATGTACATGTATGTGTCACTGAGCACTTGGGCCTTAAGGAGTTAAGTCTATGTTTCACTAACCATTGACTTCAATGGGGTCTTGGGTGGAGTTAAGTCTTTGTGTTTCCTGGAAAGCCCACATTTTTCTGAACATTTTGATATCAAATACTAATTTTGGCAAAAAAAATGGAGTTACGTCATTGTGTCTCTGAACCCTCGATATCATCATCCTGGGAACGCTTCTAGGAGCTACTGAAAAGGATTATCACTTCAAGGTTCAATGGTTAACCCATAAAATACCAACAGGATATTTAGGTCTAGAGTCTATAGAAAATGCATGTTCTACAAAAATGTTATTGCTCCCAATTGGTAAAATCTTTTAAGGTACTTTTTGAGTAATTTTCAGGAAATTGTATTATGAAAGATGTCTGAACATTACAACTTTTTAAATGGTTAATCATATTCAATTCAATTTTTTTTTCTAATAATAATGACATGGAAATTCATTGTGGGATTTCACATATTGCGTTTTACACTAAAATCTTGTATAAAAAGACATCAAAATCATGACATTGAAATAAGAAATAAGTTCATTCAAAATCAGTAAAAAATTCGAAAAACACAACATGATATTGAGACAATACAAAAATATACATACGGTAGTAAAAGGGTATAAACAGTACATGTACATGTAGTACACAAGATTAATTGTGGTATGGTAATGCTTGTTGGTGTTATCATTTATGTATTTCATAGAAAAGCATTGCAAAACATGAACTTGCAAAAGTACAGTTAATCCTAACCAGGTCCATGAACCCGTTTTGGTTTAAGGCTGGTTTAAGCATTGAAACACTATTTGTTTGATATTTTAGAGGTTATCTTCATCTGAATCTGTGATGGTAGAAATACAAAGCTGTGACACAAAGTGCATGTAGTTCAGATCACGCCGTCTCTAAAACCTTGCATTGTTTCAAGGAGGAGCTGTGTTTTGTCTTTGCCTCTTCTGAGAGGATCAGTTTCGATGGCCAGTATCACTTCTCGATATGACAAAAGCCAAAGGGGGTTTCTGTTTATTGTTCTCTTTCCTTCAAGTGGTTACCTGAATCTATGCTTAAAGGCATTCTTCACACTTCAGGCTTCATTCACAACCATAAGTGGTCAACCACTCAACAAAAAGATGTGTCAAAGGGGAAACTAGTTTATGTAAATAGCTGACAAGTGGAGACCTGTGGAAATGCACATGTATCTACATGTACATGTATATTTTTTAATAAATTTACTTGTTCATGTAGTATGAATATATTTGAAATACATATATATATATATATATATATATACATACAGTCAAACCTGCTTTAGTGACCACCTGTTTACAACAAGCACATTTTTTGTTTCCCTTGAAAATGGTTTCTCATTGAAACATGTACTAATGGGACCTGTCTACAAAGACCACTTTTTGTGTTCCCCTTGGGCAGTCGCTGTTATATAAATTTGGAGCACTCTACACTTGGCTTCTACAAAGAACCCCCAAATTCAGTACCTATATAAAACAAATATTGACTACTACTTTCTCAGGCTACAATTTAACTCCAGTCTTCGATGATTTCCCGACTGTACTATTTCCCTTGGCTTTGCCTCAGGACATACATGTACTGTTTCAAAATCGTTATAGGTCACAATTTTCACTGTACCCCTAAAAATACAGCAGTCATTATGTTCTTACTATCCCCCTTCCCTTGTCTATTTTTGTTGAACAGCTTCCTCTGTTCACCCACTCTTTCCAGTTGATGGCGATTCCTTTACATTCCATATGTGCATGTAAATGGCACATGTATATATATATATATATATATATATATATATATATGTGTGTTTCATTCACTGAGGCTCTGTTTCCTCTTGCAAGCTAATTCAATGATTGATAAATAATGTGATTGGATTAGATGCATTATGCGATTTCCTCTTCAAGGGGTCAAAAGGTCATGTATGAAGGAGGTAGACATCAGAGAGAGAGAGAGAGAGAGAGAGAAACTTCTCAAGTGTATCTTGTGAAGCAACAAGTGTTTGATAGATTAATCTGTTAATCATAGACAGATATGGATTTGATGACAATCCCACATTTGCTCTTTCAACATCTGCTTTAAAGTGACTCGATATTAAACATTGTCTCAGATTCTGATACAAAATCCTGCATTTAGCTCATGCTGCAATGATAATTATAAACCTTTAGGTCAGTCAGGAACGCCATGACGTGTACAAGCCGATCGCCTGTCTGTACAAAACTGACAAATCACCAATGATAAATTACCACATACATGGACGCATTCAATCAATCATACAGGGAGGGGGGGGGGCCAGGATTCGGGGCCCAGGGAATTAGAATAAAAGCAAAATATGATCGCATGGGTGGTGCTCCGTAGCCAATCCGAACTGTCACGTCCCATTCCTGTAGATAGACGAGAGACCTCGGTTGACCTCGGTTGACCTCCTCTACCGGTGTGTCCTTCCTTACCCCCCTCATCCCCCAGAATGGGTGCACATTGGCCCCCCTGCATCAAAACAGGATATTGCTCCTTTCCCCCCTCCCCATCTTATATCAACTTTAATGAGCGGCGGCCGTGGGACCAAATCGATTTATATCAAGAGTTACAGGCAGGAATTTTCAGTTCCTATCAATCAGGAATATTGATTGATTTCTTGGGAAACTCTGATGAATGTGACTGCCATTGCTGCATGATAGAGGAGTCTCTGAAAGAAACAAAAAGGAAAAAAAGATTAAACTTTTAAAACTCTCATATGTGGTCATTTTAATATATGGACATTATTGGTTAGATGTCACTCATTTTTCCCAATAGACTGTAGTATACAATACAATACACTGTAACAGTGTTTGGTATTTCGAATTCCAATCATAAATATCTTGATAATCGGACGGGCGTTCGGCTTGAAAACGTCATGAGATTCCTGACTGACCTAAAGGTTTATAATTATGATTGCAGCATGAGCTAAATCCAGGATTTTGTTCAGAATCTGAGACAAAGATACCCAATCCCAGTAAGTCGCTTGTTCTGTCTTGACACAAAAATTGAGAAGAATGACGTTTGGATGATCAGCGATACAGAATAGGGAGAGGGGAAAGATTCTGTTCAGCTTATACCCAAATGTCTTCTTCTCTCTTTTTGTGTCAAAATAGAACAAGCGAAACCCCTTTGTTTTGATATGGGCTGTTAATGATATTTTTAGGCAAGGGCAGGTATATCGTGGAACTGTATCATATTGAACTCTCTCTCTCGAGAGAGGGGTCCATTTCGCCTTCCTTGTCCGGACTTACCCTTGCAAAATAACCCGATATGACATTTAAAACTTGGTTTTTAAATAGGTGTAAAACATCTGCAGACACTTGTCACCATCCTTATTTTTACAGAACTGTAGTATACATTATTATGCATGTGTTTGACTTGTATATCAAATTTTAAGGAAGAAGATTCAATCGATACCAGGATGGTCTTTCCTATCCCTATCCGACTGTGCCGTGTATGGCATTAACAGCAATTCCTTCCCTAGAATTCAAGTGTTGAACATTGTTCTCAAAGTACAACTGTACAAACTGTGTAGCTTTTTTTATTTCTGAAGCACAAACAGTATTCTTTATCATGACATTTACGTAGATCCATGAAGATATTTTTACACCCATGGAATTCAATTTAAGTCAAAATTTCATTCTTGAAAGTTTACTTCAGAAAGTTGTCCCGAAAGGGGTTTGCCAGAAGGAGTTAAAGTCATCCATTATTTACAGTACATTAGAATCAGAAACAATCGCGTTCAAGAAACTTGTGCGTATGTGGTCCATATTCTTGAAGTTTGATGTTGAAAATAATTGAATACAAATCTAAATTTTTGTAAGCCTTGAAAGTTGTGATCCTGAAAATGGCTGCTATTATGCAGTAGATTGATAAATATATCTGGTTTTACAGTAAATATGTATCGGTCACTGATTAAGATGTTTACAGTAAACATGTATCGTCACTGATTAAAGGTAATACAAAGTTTTGGTATGGGGTCGTGAATTTGGTTCAAATGACTATATTGGAAGCATATGCGATCCTACAATATTCAGTGATCTTTGTCGCAGTCGTAATCAAGTCTAAACACACCATCTGTTCTTTCATGTCTATTTTGCGATATCAACACCTGCCTACTGAAACTTGGAAGACAATAATGAACTTGGGAATAGCAAAGGTGAAAAAGACACGCCGAGGGAACAAAACTAAAGAAGAAACATTTGAATTAACTGATGAAATTAGTTCGGGTACTGAACATGTGCTTCATTATTTTTTTTAAAAACAAAGGGGACTCAATATAGCACACCTCAATATATGTAGTTTGTTAGCTAAAATAGACTCTCTTAGAGATTTTCTCAAACATAGAACTGTTGATTTATTTACAATATCTGAGACTCATTTAGATGACACTGTACTCGATTCTGAGATCTGCATAGATGGTTATAAATATGAACGAAAAGACAGAAATAGAAGAGGAGGAGGAGTAGGTGTATTTATTTTGGATAACATAATGTATAACCGTAGAAATGATTTGGAAGAAAATGAATTGGAATCTATTTGGATTGAAATCAAACTACACAATACTAAATCCATCATGGTTGGAACTTTTTACCGACCACCCAGCTCAAATGTTCAATATCAAAGTAAAATTGAAGAATCAATAACAAAAGTTTGTGAATTGAATCATGAAGTTATCGTACTTGGAGACTTTAATTTTAATATGAACTTTACAAGTGAATCAAAGTTCATAAATGGTATCTGTCGGCAAAACGGTATGAAGCAAATGATAAAATCTTCTACAAGAATTACTGAAACTTCGAGTACGTTGATTGATATAGTTTTAATAAATTTTCCTAAGAATGTCAAACATAGTGATGTCCTCTCTCTCGGACTAAGTGATCACAATCTTGTATACATTGTTCGTAAACTGTATAGACCCATTGTACAACCCCGGATGGTAACATATAGATCATTCAAACATTTTGATGAGAATGTGTTTTTGCGGGACTTACATGACATTGATTGGTCAATTTGTTCTATAGGAAATGCCAACATTTCAGATGCATGGTCTATGTGGAAATGGAAATTCAGTGAAGTTTGTGATAAACACGCTCCACTTGTTACACATAGAGTTCGGGGCTATAAGACAAAGTGGGCTACAAATGAATATGTATCTCTCACTAGATTACGGGATAGGCTAAAACGAAAAGCTGACATAAGTAGACGGTTATTGGATTGGAAATATTATAGAGGGGTTCGAAATCACCTTAATAATTTGCGAACAACCTTGAAAAAGAAGTATTATGAAACTGGTGTTCGAGAAAATAAAACAAACCCCCAGAAACTTTGGAAACTCCTAAAATCATTTAATGCAAATGATAAGTCTGTAAATGATATACAGGGTTTAAAGATCAGTGGAGTTGTTGAAACTGATAAATCAGTTATTGTGAACGAGTTAAACAAATATTTTGTCTCTATTGGTGTAAGTAAAAATGACTCCCAGAGTAGTCATGATGATGCTGGTAGATATTTTCAATCACTTCCTACCAGATTTATGTTTGATGAAATAAGTGATGATTTTGTCCTTAATGAGTTGAAAAGATTGCAAACCAATAAATCACCTGGCCTTGATAAAATAAGTTGTCTACTTCTAAAAATAGCTACCCCGGTCGTTTACAAGCACCTTACTAAATTCTTCAACTTGTCATTACAATCGGGCAAGCTACCACCTGAATGGAAAGAAGCTAAGGTTATTCCTTTGTTTAAGGGTGGGGAGAGATCAGACTTGAATAATTATAGGCCCATTTCGATAATACCTGTCGTTATGAAGATCATGGAACGGGCAGTACATAATCAATTGCAAGAATATCTAACAGAAAATAATGTTCTCTCTCCGAATCAATCAGGTTTTCGTAAAGGTCATAGTACCCATACTGTTTTAACCTATTTTTCTGATTTTATTTATAGACAAATGGATAAGGGTCACATGACAGGCGCGGTCTTCATAGACCTGCGCAAGGCTTTCGACTCTGTAGATCGTAAAATAATGTTAGAAAAGCTTTGTAAGTATGGTATACTGGGTCAAGAAATTAATTGGTTCATGGAATACTTGAGTGATCGGAAACAAAAAGTTGTACTCGGAAAATTTGAATCAGATTGGGGTACGACTTTGTCAGGCGTACCACAAGGCGCCAATTTGGGCCCGTTGTTGTTTACTGTTATGGTGAATGATCTTCCTAAGGTGGTATCAAAATGCCAAGTAATGTTATATGCAGACGATGCTGTACTGTTTTTTAGTAGTAAAAAAAGTGAGGATATTGAATCGGCCTTGAACATTGATTTGAAACTAGTTTATGAGTGGGTAAAAGAAAACAATCTGGCATTAAACCACAAAAAAACAGAATTTATGTTATTTGGTTCACAAATGAAATTGGCTAAACTAGAAAAATCTATATGCATTCAACTCGAGCAACACCAAATCTCTCAGGTTTATATCTATAAATACTTAGGAGTCTGGCTAGATCCAACATTGAACTGGAAAGAACACGTGACAAAAACAAGTAAAAAGATAGCGTCAAGGATAGCATTACTTGGTCGTTCAAAAAGATACCTACCTTTGGAGGGACTGAAGCTTCTTGCCAATGCATTAATTTTACCTTTATTTGAATATTGTTGTAATACATGGTCTAATTGTTCACAAAATGTCCGAGATGTAATCATTAAACAACACAAGAAAATGGCCAGAGTAATCTTGGGGGCCAATGTAAGAACCCCAACTCAAGAAAATTTAAATAAACTCAAGTGGGTAAGCATTCAAAGTAGGTGGAATTATTTCAAATGTAAAATGATTTATTCTGTTTTTCAAAATCAAACTCCCGTCTATATTTTACAAATGTTTCAAAAAACCCAATCTTTACATAATATTAGAACACGCAGTGCACAAAACGCAGGATTAATTTTACCCAAAATAAAAACCCAGATGGGGAGACAAAGTTTTTCATTTGATGGTGCGGCTTTCTGGAATACTTTACCTAATTTTTTAAAAAATGCACCATCAAATTCTTCATTTACTCTTTTGTTTTGGCGCTATAATAATTTAAATCATTGAACTGGTCCATTGTGTTGTGTTTGTTTCTTTTCTTTTGTTCAAAAATGTTGTAACTTAATTCACTTTGTTTCGATTTGGATTGTTTGTTTTTCAATATGTTTGTTAATTTTGTATTTATGTTGTAGGGCCTCCACGGAAAACAGTATTGAACTACTGATGGAGCCACCCTACTAAAAAAAGACTAATAAATAAAAATAAATAAATAAATAAAATAAAGTAATGAAATTGTCAATAATAAACTCTTGATGTTGTATAGTTCTCTCTCAAGGTCAAGATATTAATTTAGCTATAAAACAATGTTTCTTGACTAAATACAACTGATTGGCTATTCCTATTTGAAAATTATATATCGCAACTACAAACTCTGAGAATTTCATGGTCGCAGCTACTACTGTATGGCCGTAGGCGCTATTTGAAATTTATCAAAATTTACTGGGAGCACCGGTAAATATTTATATTCAATCTTTCTTGAATTGAAGTGTTTTAGAGGCAAAATTTTCTACTTCTTATAAAACATCCACATGGGCAACCAAATATATCAAAGTTGTAAAGAATCACTATCCAGCCAATTTTCAAAATGTCCAAAACTTTGTAATAAGATGGTGACCGATTACTCCTGAGATCTTGAAGTTTTGCTCTGATGTGAACCCACCTCCTTGACGTATCACCTTTATTTTTAGACCAGTGTCCAGTGAAATTCAATCTCATTTGTCTCCCTCTGGAGGGGGTAGAATTTCATTTCCTTTGTCCGGGCTAGCCCCCTACTTCCGAACCATAACATCCGATGGAGGAAGAAGGATAAATGCACCCCGAGATGTTTTTGAAATATCTGCTTACCCTTGCAAACAAACATGCTACACTTAGCATTCTATTTGCTCTCATTTTTTTCTTCAAAACTTGGATCAAGTTTATATTTATATGCACCTTGTTTTATTTTTGTTTATTAATTTTGCATTTCATTTTGTTTTTCTTTCTTTATTTACATCTACATTTATTACAATCTTTGATCAGAATCTTTCATAGAAACATCTTTATATTTTACCACTTTCATATTGCATAGGTACACTGGACATTAATACGCCACAATAATAAGCAAAATTAGGGGAAAAAAAGGTTCATCATCCTGTATATATTTTGTTGTTTAAAGCCGTGTAGTGTATGAATATATATATATAATATTCTGTGTCTTCTTTGGGTGGCCTGATCTTGATCTATAAAAAGAATGAAAATAGAGAAAGGGTGATCTAATGAGAGAGAGAGAGAGAGAGAGAGAGAGAGAGAGAGATGGCGTGGAAAAGAGTGGGAGAGGGGACGGAGGAGATGAAATGAAATATCCTTAGTAACTCAAAAATTCAGACTGCTTGAATTTTAAAGAAACATGGGGACAGGAAGTCCTCTGAGTTGATGGTAAAATTTGATTGATCACAGACACTGGTAACATGTACAATGTAGGGCCGTGCATCTCAGATTTAACATGCCTTTAAGAAGAGAGTCCTCGTTTTTGTTCTTTATTTCAAGAAAATTCTCCAGGGAATTTCTTTTTTCATGTGGGAGTGACAAAAGAATAGCCTGATTATGGTGATAGTCCCACACATAGCATGCGGTGTAAGCGCTTGTATTAGTCATGTATGATTCAGTACAGGCATGTGTGTATTGCTTCATAGGAGTGACGTACATCGCCAACCACAATGGGCAACTTCAATTCCCCATCACGCAGCCGAACAAGGGTAATTCGCAATCAAATCAATTAACAAAACCACTTTAGAATGACTGAACATTGCGGGGGATAATTCTGCAACCTCTTTGTTACAAGATATGTCAGAGTGATCTGCCGTTTAGGTTTTATCTCTTGGCTTTTAAGGTAGAGTTGTGGGAGAAGATGAGGCTTCATACATGCAGACCTTTACAAATCAGACACTCAAAACTTTATCTTTATTCTATATGTAAAAACAAAAGTAAAATTATTAAGTTCAAATAATTAATGAATTTCAACCCAATTTAAAGATACTATGTCCCTTTTGCAGCCAACATCAAATTCTGTAGATTTTTAAAGGAATTATGAATCTGTCGTGTGAAATTTAAAACGTAAGCAGTGTCCTAGTATTCAAATTATGCAAGGAAACTTGTTTACTTTCTAGACTTCCCTGTCGGACATTATTGAGTAACTAACTGACATTTTTTTCTTTGGTATTTATATAACATACATAAAATGAGCTGTAGCAGGTACAGTACAGTACATGAGCATTTGTCTACATCAATAACCCACTACTTGAAATAGCCAAAATTAAACTGATTGAATCTTTGTGCGGCACAAAATGTATGACCATCCGGTACAAGGGTCTGAAAATCAGACTATTGATAGGTGATTGCAATCACTTTCAATTTGACAACTAATAGTCATTAATTTCCCACAAAAAGCCATTTTCAAACCCTTTCGTTTTTTGAGGGAAGTTCTAAATACATGTAAGTATTGTCTTTCAAATGCCGTTGGAATTTAACCTTTTCATTTTTGGGCCTGCAAATGGGACATACATGTAGTACCTTTAAGAGTTATATTTGTTAATGCAAACCAGACAAGCATTTTTCTATTTACAGAGTACATACAAAGTATACATGGACAGTGCAAAATGATATTGTGCAGGAATAAAATGCATAGATTTGTGTATTTTAGGCTAGACCTACGTGCATGCTCTGATTTGTACTGTTGTTTGACAAATCTGATAGCTTTACTAACAATATTTGATAGGCCAATATTTTGGTAAATGGTGTTTTAAAGCATAAAAACTTCCTTTGGAAAGCAGACACTTTTGTTGTTTTTGTTGTTGGCTTGAATAGAAGTTCTATACTGTAATTGTACCCTTAAGAAAAAACATGTAATGAGTGAGTAAATAATTGAGCGAATAAATGGAGGGATGGTTACAACTGTATATGGATGGGTGGATGGATGAATGATAAACAAATAAGTTGATTAATGCAAAGAAAGATGAATACATTAGATAACTAAGCATATGAATGAATTAATAAATAATCCTGATGTATGATCCTAGTAAAACATATATTCAGGATTGACCATTGAGACTCTGTTAATTTCTCCTTTTCGTTAAAAAAATATATAAATATAATGCTGTGTTCTTCCTACCCAGGATTGACAGTACAGTCAGCCCAAAACTAGCTTGTCATGGAGACAGACATGAAAAGTGTCAATTCAGCTCCGATTAATACCTTCCTATCATTAATTAGCCCCAGGCCGCCTTTCCTCCAAACCGTCCCATCCCCCGAACTTTTTGGCACGGTTCACATCTCTGTGTTTCTTCGAGACAACAGTCTTCAAGACAACAATCTTGAAAGAAGCAATCTTAAAGATTATAGATTTTTGAGCATAATTAGTTTTTTTTTCTTTTGCATACCGGTATTTAGCATAAAATTTAATCAATGATCGGTTGTGAAGAGAGTTACTGTAAGATTTGTTTTGGGGCAGCTATAATAATAATTATAATGCGATATAATGAGATATGATGAGATGTTGAGACAATAAAGCAAGTGTGAACAATGCTTCCTCCCTCCAATCTCTCCTCTCTCTCTTTCTCTCTTTCTTTCTCTCTCTCTCACACACACACACACACACACGCAGTCTCTCCATCTCTCCCCCATGTCTCTTCCCCTCCCCACTCTCTATCTCTGTCTTTCTCTACCCTCCCCCCTTCCCCCCCCCCTCTCTCTCTCTCTCTCTCTCTCTCTCTATCTGACCAAGGGAGTGACAGACGAACCCTGAAGCAACCAATGCTTGTCCACCCAATGGCAAATTAGCCCTGCTACAAACTGTCATAAGAGCCATAAAGACCGTTCTCTCCCTCCCTCTCTCTCTCTCTCTCTCTCTATCTGACCAAGGGAGTGACAGACAAACCCTGAAGCAACCAATGCTTGTCCACCCAATGGCAAATTAGCCCTGCTACAAACTGTCATAAGAGCCCTAAAGACCATTCTCTCCCTCTCTCTCTCTCTCTCTCTCTCTCCGCTTTGTTTGGTCTCTGCCGTTCTTTTCACCTTGTCCTCGATGAATCAGAACCCCCTCTCAGACGTCAGAGTGGCACCGAACTGGTCATGTTCATCTAATTTTCCCCCTCTTGGAAAACTAGTTGCTTATTTTCCCAAGAAGTTGAATAAATGTATCTTATTTGTGCCTCTCCTCCAACTTTGGAATAATTTTTGTTGCTAATTGTTTTAAAAAGTTACATTGATTGGACATTAAAAGGATTAAGGATGTTGGCGAGGGCTCTTTTGAAACATATTTTTCAGAAGGTAGGATTTTAATATTGTTGTGAAATTTTTGGTTCATTTGTGTTTTACCTCATTAAGATTTGTAAGGAAATTTTGTTTTCTCACATGTCATTTTCCTTTGTAACGTTATGCCAGGTTTATCTTTCTTCAAGTGATTTACCAGTGTCATTTAAAGTGATTTTTCTTTCCTTCTTTTTTTTCAAAGTTGTATTTTATTGTATTTCATTATTTATTCATTTATTTATCAATATTGTTATCAATCTTATTATTATCTATTACTATTATTATTGTTATTTTTTTATAGGTACCGGTATTTGTTTATTGTTTATTTATCTTTTTATTAATTTATTCATTATTATTATTGTTTTTTTTACTTTAAATACCTGGTATATCTTTTTTATTTATTTTTTAATATTTTTTTTATTGTTATTAAAAAAATAAATATAGAGAGGGGGAAGTTATTGACTGATTTTTTTTTCTTTTGTATTTTTTTTATCTGAATATTTTGCTAGTCACCTGCATAACATTAAATTTCAAGTATTTTGTGTACAACTTTATTTATTTTGGTTTTAAATTCTTATATTAACAGCAGGCTTTTTGGTCGTTTTTATTGTTTTACCATTTTGGAAATAATCTATGTGTTGGATACCATTTGATATTGCTAACACTCATGTTTGGACTCCATCCCAAGTTAGCTACATTTATAATGGTTCACTCTTTCTATGTAAAGCAGTAGACAAGTTTACTTTCATATTAAGGTTTACCTTGAGATTTTTTTTGTTTTTGTTTTTTTGAGGCCGCCATCCTTGTCAAGCTTTGCTTATGATTGCGGTCTCCTGCACTTTTCCAATAGAAAAGTTTGGATAATACTTTAAATTTATGATTATATGTTATGGAAATATTTAGTTTCGTTATTATATGTACATATATTATGTAAAATAACATTTTGACATGAAGAAATTATTGTTTGTTTATGTTGTATTATACCTTACATTTATATGTTCTTTGCTATTCAGTTATATTTTATATGGAAAAAATGCAGAAATAAAATAAAATAAAATCAAATATATTTAAAGTAATGGATGTATCTTTCCTGGGTAACTAGTGACAAGTAATTTGGATCGCCTGCTATTAATTAATGAATGAATTCAATACTTGGACTCCAGTCTGCATACTTTACTTGTTGCTATGTTAGGCAAGCTGTCAGGTTATCAAGAACAACCTTTGTTTAAAAAAAGTATGCATAAAATTTGAATATTTTAGTACACCGGTCTATTCCCAGCAATTTGTCCGGGGGGGGGGGGGGGGTGTTTCACAAAGACTAAAATAATCAACTTTAAGTTAGACTTAACTATGGCAGGCCGTTCATGCCACTGTTTGCTCTCACCATTTACTGGCACTGGCTTCTCAAGGGACGTTCAAATCATCATGGTCACAATTCTACAGAATTTACTTTTTTTGAAAGTTCATTATTGAAGGAAAATATATATACAGATCATAATGGTGGGAGCAAACAGTGGCATGAATGGCCTCCATAGTTATTACTTAAAGTCGATCTTTGTGAAACACTCCCCTGTCCAACATACTTGTACTCTTATTTTTTCCCCACATATTTTATCAAATACTGAAGAATCTCTATGACTATTGAATAATGGTACTTTCTGGAGAGTGTTTCACAAAGACTAAGATCGAGTTAAGTTGGACTTGAACTATGGCAGGCCGTTCACGCCACTGTTTGCTCTCACCATTTACTGGCACTGGCTTCTCAAGGGACGTTCAAATCATGGTCACAAATCTACAGAATTTACCTTTTTTGATGGACTCTTGTAGGAAAAATATTATATAAAGATAATAATGGTGAGAGCAAACAGTGGCATGAATGGCCTGCCATAGTTCAGTCCAACTTAAAATGGATCTTAGTCTTTGTGAAACACCCCCCTGTCCAACAAACTTGTCCACTTTTTTCCCCCAACATATTCCATCAAATACTGAAGAATCTCTTGACTCATATGACTATTGAAAAGTGGTTCTTTCTGGTAACTCTACCAATAGTTGTACTCATTTCAATAGTTGTACTCATTTCAAGACACATTTCTTTCATGGATGAAATTATTTGGATGAATATTGTATGCTGTACAGAATGCATTCCAGTTGCACAGTATCTCCCCATACCAGAAATTTAATTCAATGTATACATGTCACAGACCTGCCAACCAGTACGATTGGGTCGTACTTTCGTACAATTTTTTAGAAGCAAATACGACAGTACGGTTTTCCTCAATAAAATATGATTAAATTTTTTTTTTTAATTAAAAAAAAAAGATTTTAAGTGTGTGTGTGCCATTTTGAATGGGAAAATGCCCATTCTCTCATGTAAAGTATTCTACAAGCATCCCACATCTGCAGTTTGGGGATGTTCATTGGTTCATCGAACATAATTCAACCAATGATCCATACAAAAATTTCTTCTTGTATGTAGGAACTGTAATACTGTTTTCACACTGGCAATATTTTGCTTAACCCCGTACTATACAAATGTAGTTTGGGTTAAGGAGGGTCTTAGCCCCACCTATAGTACGGGGTTAAGCCTATTCCACTTTCTGTTCAGACTGACTTTTACCAAAGTGGGCTAAAGTTGGCTAACCCCACCTATAGTACGGGGTTAACTAACCCTGCAAAATAGCAGGGCTAACTCCGCAATTTTGGTGCTAACTCCTGCTAACCCCGCAATTGCGGTGCCGAGCAAATGAATGAGAACAGAAACAAAAAATAGTCCGGTACTACGCAATGGAGCGTATCGCAGCTGGCCAGATGCGAAGTATATCCAATCATAACATTCACGATATCCGGGGTTAACGAATTGCAGTGAGAACAGCGTGAACTTTCTTATTCTGGAATAGGCGCTAGTACGGGACTAAAAACAGCGAGTGTGAAAAGCCAAAAAAATAGTCCGGGGTTAAGGATAGTACGGGGCTAAGCAAAGTACGGGGTTAAGCAAAACCAGTGTGAAAAGAGTATAAGAGGCATTTATTCGCGTAACAGTCCATGTTTTTTTCTAAGAATACAACTTTTGTCAGTAAAATACAACTTTTGGGTTTAAAGAATACAGTTTTTGAACTCTAGAGGTTGGCAGGTCTGATGTCAATTTATCTATATTCCTTATTATTTCCTTTCAGAGTGCTGCATCATCGGAGCTGTCTGATGGCCAGGTCTCGATGGAAGAGTTCCTGGAAGTGAAGAAGAAGTTGTCAACGTCCGACAGTAGGGTTGAACATCTTCTTAATATGAACAAACAACTCAACCAAGAAGTTCACATGTTACAGTCCATGGTAGGTATCCCAGCAGTACTTCATCTTTGCAAAATAGAATTATAATAAATGTAATTATTGTTGATATTAACAAACAACTCAACTATTAAAGAAGTTCACATGTTACAGTAGGTGGAAGGTATCCCAGCAGTACTTCATCTCTGCAAAATAGAATTATAATAAATGTAATTATTATTAATATGAACAAACAACTCAACTAAGAAGTTTAAATGCTATACACAGCATTATGTAACTTGTCAGTACCTTATAATCTTTAAAAAAAAAAAAATTAGCAGATGTTTCTGCATTTATTGATAAATCTAATATACTGTAAAACATTCAAATAACAATTGATTTACATAAAGAGTGACAACTTAAATACACACACATAAAAATGCATATATATCTATAATTAAAAGCTTGAAAGTATGGAGTACATGTAGGAGCCCACAGAAGAACCAAAATAGCCTGGATAAAAGCAGACTGAAAAATGACTAACTTGTACAGAGTATCTGCATCTACTGTATACTTGTGGCGCCACCACAGACTTTGATGGTTTTCCCGCTGTCTTACTTGCCATGCAAGCTGCCAAGTTGAATGCTAACCTGTACTGATTTAATTAACATTCTCAATGACTTGAGACTTGATCCTCACTCCAAAATTAAATCAAGTCATTAGTCACTGCATGTGAGTATGTGTCGGGCTTTGTTTAGAATAGATTAAAATTGTACTCTGACTTCCTAAAGGGATTTTGATAATTTTCTGGACCTGGGGCTGTTGATGTTGTCTTTTATGTTATGGAAAACAATGTTAATTTCATAAGAAATTGAAATTGCGCCCAAAACTAACACTTGTCAGTGGTGCTTTTGTGGAACTCTCTTTTAGCTCTATAAAGCAAACCCAGCCAGCATTGTGCAGACATTAACCAATGGCCCGTAATAATTGTACTAACATTATTCGAATATACCGCCCCCCCCCCCCTCCCAAAAAAAAAAAAAAAATAAGGTCTATCGCATCATACATGTATATGAACAAGGGGTTGTTTCACAAAGATCCTAAGTTGGACTTATCAATATGAAAAGCCATTGGCATCTACAATGTATGATGATATTCTGTACAATTTACTTTAAGAGGCATTGAATTGTGGATTGAAATCTTTAATATTTTCTATTACCAACGGGGTTTGTATGTTCTTGATGTGGAATTAATAGTCTAATTTAGAGTTAATGTAAGTTCAATTTAGGATCTTTATGAAACACACCCCAGGGCTTAAATTGAATCGCCAAGAAAGATACATTTGAAAATCATACTTGTACTTGAATTTTAGATTGGTCTGATCCTCCAGAGTACCGAAGCTGTGACATCATAAAAATGTATTTTAGAATTTCTCAATTTTTTCTTCATTTTCTGAAATTATGCACGGCTCCTAATGGTTAGGAGCCAGAGCATATAACACTGAGCTCCTATAGAAAATATATTTATTCAGATGGTCATATCTCAGCCAATACTTAACATATTCAATTGGTTTTTCAACATTTGGACATTATTTTTTATGCTTTTTCGGGAAATGAAGAAAAAATTGAGAAATTCTAAAAATAGAATGTTGATGACGTCACACTTCACCACTCTATAAAGCAATGTAGGCTGCATATCATTACACTGGAGGCAAACAGTTTAAAGCCAAGAGCTCTAGACTAATTCTGATTGCTTTGTAGTCAGCAGTATGAAAGCTTACTGTGTGCAGGTACCAACATTGTGAATTACTTCTTGAATTATGGCAACTGTTCATTAGATGTACAGGGTTTAGATCCAGAATTATATAATATAAATGTCTTACATATCACTTTTAGCCGATTATACATGTATGTCCATGGCCTTTCTGAAATTCATTTAATCCTTCAAAGGAACAGATTCATATTTGAAACTGAATTAAGTATCCATAAATAAGTATGTAAAAGTTAGGCAAGTATATTTTAAGTGAAATTGAGTAAATGAGGAAATTAAAATATAAGATAAATGAGTAATTAGTGTGATACTGGACAGAATACAGAATGCATTGCCTCAAAACTTGGCAAGTCCAATACACCCTCTTTCTCTCAATGAAGAAACCATTTAAATTACTTTCATAAATACTACATATAGAATGTCAATAGTTCATCCATTTTTTCTGTTACATTTTCCTTGCTACATTTTCCTTTCATTTTTGTACAGTATTCCCAATCCATTTGGCATCTTTAAGCATGCAGCTGTTACAAAGCTCTTTGTATTTTGCTCTACAGGTAGACGGGCCCTGTAATCATTTGTAATAAACTTAAAACAATCAAGCTAATGATAACATTGCATGCACCAACTTCCATCTACATGTCCATCACCTTTATTAATCGTCACCCGTCTAATCTTTCTTTGGACCTTCTTTCATGATAATAATAATTATAATTCTACACTTATATTGTGCACAACTCTGCCAACATAATGGCACTCTTGGCACACAGATCAACAAATCAAATACATTGTAAGAATATGGTCAACACATCAAATACATTACAAGAATATGGTCAACACATCAAATACATTACAAGAATATGGTCAACAAATCAAATACATTACAAGAATATGGTCATTAATCAAAATTCAACAAATTATATTACAAAATGAAAAAGCGAAAAATGTTCAACATAACTACAGATATACAACTGATAACCAAAAGTAATACAAAATATTTTAAGTCAGATAATAATCCTAACACTAACAGTACGCCTTAATCATCAACAAGGTCTTCAATTTTTGTTGAAAGGTTCATGCCTTTGTTCGTCACTTCCCCTTCCCTCCATCTTCGTGTTGAAGAAAGACGATACTTGTTGGTTCAACATCATGTTATCAGCTCATGTTCTTATCTTCAACCCTACTCATCACATCTCAAACATGTTTCTGTCGTCACCTGGGAATGTATCATCTGAGGTGACTAGGGTACCCGTTGCCATAACAACCCAAACAAATAGGGTTCAAAGAAAATTCCCTTGTATTCATTTCTAGGTGGATGGCTTTGATTCATCTTGGTTTAATTAAAGAGAAGAAGAATGAAATTATTGGATAAAGGATATCTTTCCTTCTCTCTTTCTATCTTTCTACAAATGTATTTACTATAACTTCCTTTGTTAGTAATCATGATTGTTTATAAAGTGGTGTTGAAACAGAAACTTTTGTATTACTTTGTTTCTTGACCAATTCTTTTCTTTGTAGGTTGATAAGCTGAAAGAAGAGAATGCCAAGCTGTTGGTCCTACAGAGGGGTAAAGACGTCCCCAAGATGGTCAAGACAAGGGACCTTGAATCGCTGACCCAAGCACCCAAGCCAAGCCCCAAGCCAGCCCGCCCAGGTAACCGACCCAACTCCATGTTCGAGCAGAGGGCAAGCCAGAAGCCTGCTCCCAGATGGAAGCCCGGCGCTTCAAATCCCAACGCTCCCCCCGCCGCAGCTGCCCCGCCCGCCAGTGGTGGTGGTGGTGGTGGTGGTAGTGAGAAGGCGGAGTCGAAGGATACAGGGAAAGATGTAAAGAGTCCGTTACCGATCATCGGGTTGCCAACTATCCCAGATGATCAACCCAATGAGGTAGTTACTGAGAATACATTGTTTGATTCCAGGCTTTGACTTTGGTATACGTAAACCTTTATAAGTCAGTCAGGAACCCAATGACTTTTACAAGCCGATCGGCTGTCTGATTATCAAGATATTTATAATTGGAAATCTTAATCAAATTTTGCGTTTTCCTAACAGTGTTCATAAAACACTATTGGTGAAAACGAGTATGGTAAAAGCGGTCACTAAGATTTTTGAAGCGCAATCTTAGGGCTTCAATATTACACCATATCACAGACACTGACAACACGTAGGGCCGTGCATCTCAGATTAACTTATTAATATTCATTAGTCCACCATTAGGACAATAACTTTTATAAATATAATGCTTTTCAAATTGTTTAAAGATATTTGTGACTTACACCCAGTAAATAAAGATTGATTGATCAATCTGTAATTTAATTTTTTCTCTCAATATTTTGAATATTTTGAAGATCTTTTCTGACTTGTTTTCAATTACAGATCAATCAATCGATCTTATTTACTGGGTATAAGCCACAAATATGTTTAAACAATATTCAAATGATCACTCTACTGCAATGATCCTCTTTTGTTTTGTTGTTGTTTTTGTTGTTTTTGTCATTGTTTATTCATATATTATTTTGTATGATTCTTTTACTAGTTTTACAGTTTATCGTGGCTGTCCAGACAAACCCACTAGGGTTTTTATACAGGAACCAAATTCCTATTATTTTACTGTCAATATCTTACCATTATAATAATAATTGTGTATAAGTAGGGTATATTTCGTTTATATTTACTGTATGTTGATGTTTTTGTTTTTATGATGGAATTGAATAAATACTGAATTGAATTTCTACAGGAGGCAGCAGAGAAGGAGAAGTCAGAGAGGCCACTGAGTGAAACAGGCAGTGAATATGATAATGCCTTACCAACAAAGACAGAAGATGAAAAAAGGTAGGGAGAAGACCCTTGCCTTCTATTGTTGTGATTGGAAGAAAAAATAATGGAAGCCAAGAACTTAAACTTCTTTTAAATGGCTGTAGAGAAAGTGGAACATGGACCACATTTTTTTGAAAGACGGATTCCAATCGTTGGCGTTTCTATCAACCAACAAATCCATCATTTATATATCAATATACGGATTCACTGTAGACATGTAGTTTGCCTGACAGCTAGATGTAACGTTAAGTCGATTGTATTCTTCAAATTTTGTTCTTTGAGACAATTTTACAAACCCATCCAAAGTTAATCAATGTTGATAAAAAGCCAGAGGTTATTCTGACAAAACTATTTTGGTTAAGGGTTCTTGTAATGTAAAAAAATCTTTGAAATACGTTGTTGATTTTCAGTGGCTCCATGCAGGAGTTCTACACTACGTTGTACATGTAACTGTAATTGAATGTGGTGGTGGTTATTTTACCTGACTGCTAAGAAAGCATAAATGCTTGTAAGTAAGCAACCAGACGGCCGATGGCTTTAGATCCTCTCCAAGGGACCTGGTAATGAGGATTAATGCTTTACCAAAGGGCACTAGCGCTTCGACTTGGTTTCGAACCCGGGTCACCGGATCACGAGACCACTGCTCTACCGACTGAGCTATCGCGCCTCCTGTTATTCAATTCAATTCAATTCTCATTTATTTCCTTCCCAGTTAAAAATTGCATTGATACAAATTGTAAAGCAAAGATAACAAACAAAACAAAAAAACATTAATTTATTTTTAATGGTTATAATGGTATTTCGTTTCAAGATACACGACAGTTAACTATTAGTTGGATACGATACAATTTGGAATTTTTGGATTATGTTTTTTATAAACTCCACTCCGAGATCTTCAAAGTACATGTAAATGTTGTTGAATTAAATTATTGCTTTAATACTTTTGCCCTGTTCTTTCAGCACACCGAAACCAGCCTCGCCTGCATCACTACCCCTCCCCTCCCCGTCCCCCAAGTCCCCTGCCACCGTCAGCACACCCCCTCCCCAGTCCTCCTCCTCCCCGGAGCCAGAGGGAGAGACGGAGGACGGGGCGGAGACAAAGAAACCAGCCCCCACCCAAGAGTCTGTCGTCGGGACGACGGAGAAGATCACGAGGAGGATTCAGACTTTGCTGCAGGCAGCTCAGGAGGGAAAGCTTGATAGGTAAGGTGTCAAAATGACGAGGAAATGATCCCCAGACGGCATCTAACAAGCCTGATAATTACCCAATGTAAAACGGTTTCCTGATTTTTGTGGATTTTCCCCCGATTTCTTTTTTTCTGTTTTTTTTTTTTCCCCCTGATTTTTTCCCCTTCCAGATTTTAACCTTATTCCCCTGATTTTTACTTTTCTTTTCCCTTTTTTCCCAATTTTCTTAGTCAAAATGCGGGGAATTTTGTTAGATGACATTTTTTTCCCCCAAATTTTCTGTGTGTGTGTCTGTTACTCAAGGGTGAAGTGGTTGAGGAATAAAAATCTAACCACTAATGATAATCGCTCACAGATGGAGGAGCTGTACATGTAGTTCAACCCTCATATTTGAAGGATTGAATTTCCCTCTAGATTTTGGACACAAAATTCCTGGCTCAATATGTTGATACACAATGAATGTCCTAGAAGGAGGCAAGCACCAAAGAAACGGGACAATTCATTATGGCTTTTTCTGTGAGTCGAGCCAGATATATTAAAATATGGATCTTAAGTGATATACCTGGGGGGTGTTTCACAAAGATCCTAAGTCGAACTTAACTTTAAGTTGGACTTAAACGTTATGGAGAGCCACGTGTAGCCTTAAAATAAAATGTATTCAAAAGCAAAAATTCAAGTATTTTAGACTTTTCATAAATTCCACATCAAGAACATGAAATCACCCATGATAATAGAAAATATGAATGATTTGAATCAACATTTTATGCCTTTTAAAATAACTTTTACAACGTATTTCCAAAGATGCTTACGGCTTTCCATAATTGTCCAACTTAGAGATAAGTTCAACTTAAGATCTGGCACCTAAATGACATCATGGTTCAGTGATATTCACTGAAAGCGAGAGATTTTCTCTTCCTGAACAAGAGAAATTAGTCGTGAAAAATTGATGGTGTTTTTTTAATCGAAAATCTTAACATAAAAAAAAATACAGAAAGAGAGAATAAATAAATAAAGAATGAAGATTCTGATGAAATCAAGAGGTCATGAAAATAATAATAGCATAAGTGATATTATTAACATTGATAATAATAATAATATTCTGGTTGTATTTATGGATTTAAAAAAAAAAGGTAAGGTCTGGGCATTGTTTCATAAAAAGCACCTAAGCTTTTTGTGCTGTTCTGCTTTATATGAATGTGCACCTTTGTGTTATTGTAAATAGTCATTAGCATTAAAATGTGTTTAACTTCAAAAATATGTACGTAGTTGATACAAAACTACTCAAATTATGTTATTGTAATCTTTCGTCTATTTTAATTCATCGATAAGGAGCGAAATCCCTGACAATTAAAAAAAAAATGTAACATGTAAAGAGCAGTCCAAACCTTGGGGATGATTCTCCATTCTGCCAGGGGCAAGACAATTTATTTTTGAAAAGGAAACAAACTGCACCTTTTCCTTTGCACATTTACATCCTTTTGACATATCTCTGATTTTGGGCAATCAAATATTTTACGAATATCTGTATCCTACATCTTGCACCTGTTTGCTACAATTGAAAGCTGTTTTGTTGTTCATTGAGTGCCACAAGGGAGACTATAGTTTATCAGATTATCGTTCATAAATTTGCCTGAGGCCTGTCTGCTAAGGAAAGGTTGGGAAAACCTTTTCCCAAACAGACTTTCTTAATAAAAAAACCTGATCCCTAGGATGACCAAGTTTCACCTTTTTTTTCTTCAATATGAAAGAAACACAAAATTGCTATGTCCTAGACTTTAAAACGATACATGTACATGACAGTGGCAGGTTTGTTAAAGGGGCAGTCCACCCTGATAGTAAGTTGGTGTTCATAATATTTGAAAAATGAGAGAAACTAATTAGTAAAAGTTTGAGCAAAATCTGATTAAAAATGGGAAAGTTATGAGTTTTTGTAGATGTCATCAGCGAAATACAAATGGCAAAACACTGTGACATATCTTGCGAGCTCCTCTCCAATTTGCTCTGTACAAAAAAAATTCATAATTTTTTTTTCATAAAGTTTATTGTTAGCAGACTAAATTATTTCATACAGGGGTTGTATAAAAACATATTTGCAATGATTATATTAAGGGTGAATGCATGATTGAAAATTTTCAGTTGGGGAAATATAGATTTATGTAGTACAGAGCTTACGTGAGGAGAATGTGAGCGGAGCTTGCAAGATACTGTATATCACAGAGTTCCTAATGTGCGTTTGATTGATTGACCCTTCAAAATGTCATAACTTTCTTTTTATTGTTTGTTTTTGCTTAAACTTTCACCAACACTTCTCTCTCACGACACCTCTACAGTCTACACCTTTATTTTATGTATTGTAAAGCAGGGTGATTCCATTCAGTATTTACTCTGATCTTCCACCAAGCCCTTGTAATATACCAACGAATATAAACTGCAGCTTTAAGCTGTGGCATAATATGTGGTATATAACATGTAAGGATACAAAATACGCACTTGACCATATACATGTACCAGATGTAAGCAAAGCTTATCTATGAAATTCACAACCATGTCAAGTTTCTCTATATTTCCTGTCAAGTACAATTTTTTGTTTTTCTGTTTCCCTGCAGATTTGTATCCTGTTCTGATAATATCTATGCCACAGTGACAGACATGGTTGAACTATTTCCAGAGGTAAGGCAATTGAAGTGTAGCCAATATTATCTGTTTCTTAATATGTGACAATGACTGTTTTATGTCAGAAATCTAAATCTGTTATTAACAATTTTTCGTAAGTTTCATATCTCAAGCAGTTATTGCAGTATAATTAATTCATTATTCTCATTTTCGTCTCCTGATAATTCTGCTTGGTGTGGAGAAATGTTTATTTTTCATTTCATAAATTTTGTATCAAAGATGCACAAGACTCTAGGTTATAAAGTCACAAAAGCTCACAGTGCAAACAATTTCGGCGTGTGTAGTGGGGGGGGGGGGGGGGTGGAGTGGGGGGAGTGGAATGGATAGTACATCCTTCAGCCCTTTAAGGTTTAGATCCATGCAGACATGAAGCAGTAAGTTGCTTGAAGAAATACAAATACATGTGGTACATTTCTGCATATATCGTTGCGTATTCACAGAAGCCAATTATTTTTTAATGCACCTGTTTTTTAAAAATTATTTTCTCTTTCCATTCATTGACATGCAAAGTTTTTGAGGCAGATTATCATGCTATGTATTAGCATGGCTTAAAGGGATTGGGTATCTTTGTCTCAGTTCTAAACAAAATCCTGGATTAGCTCATGCTGCAATCATTATTATAAACCTTTAGGTCAGTCAGGAATCCCATCTGATTATCAAGATATTTACGATCGGAATTCAAATTTCAAAAACCGTTTTCCCAACTCTTTTTAACACTTCAGTCTATTGGGAAAAATGAGTATGGTAAAACCGGTCACTCAAAGATTTTATACTTTTTTGAGGCAGTTCATGATCATTTTGAATGCAATTTTTTAGGGCTTTAATATTACACCATATCACAGATGCTGATAACACGTAGGGCCATGCATCTCAGATTTGGCATTCTTAAACGATGCCTTTAAGACATCACTGCCTCTCTTATGTACATGTAATATGAAGTTTGATATAAATTATATACTGGTAGACAAGAATTCTCCCAGGGGGAGGGGGGGGGGGGTTGCAGCAATTGAAAGGTCTTGGATCATTTATTTCTCTCTGAATACAAACCACAAACCGAGCATGATCTCTCGTGATTCAATTTTTTTTTTAATCACAAGAATTTCATCTTTCATCTTTGACCCAGAAACCCAAATCAGAAGAAGTGCGAGTGCCCCTGCGTCTTCTCGTCTCCAGCGCCAGCCGGCTTAGGGTAGAATGCCAGAGCGCCGTCCCAGCTGACCCTTCCATAACCCCTGACCTCAAACACCTGACCAATCAGATCATCGCCTGTGCGTACGACATTGCCAAGGCTGCCAAACAACTCGTCACCAGTTTCCAATGAAGTTCCCTTAACGCGATAGCAACTTCTTTAGAAAAAAGAAAATCAACTTTAAAAGTTAATTTCAGTAACCTTGTGCGAACACGACAATAAATCCGAACATGATTTCTATGCGACATACAATAGGGTGAAATTTCTCTCGAGTTAATTTGTCAAAATAACCGTGATCATGTTGCTTTTACTTCATTTTATTTGATATATGAAATATGATGAATTTAAGCTCCAACCAGATACTCATAATGTAAGTGTCATGATAGGTGCGTCTTGTGCTTGGAATGTCATATATCTCATGAAATGCTGTTATCACCATATTTTAGTGTTTTTGTGCTGTTCATAGTATGGGAATTCTTAATTGATTACATCGTTAAAGAATTAAATTTCATAGGTCCATTGGCTATACAAATTTACAGCGAATAGACATGGGCTTTCTAGCAACCTTTTTTGTAACCTGGGATCTCCCGATTACCTATGCTCTACTACTTCTGAGCCATCATGCATTCATCCCAATGCAAGTATAACCATCCTTTCTTGATGAAAAAAAAATGCCAAGAGCAAATGTCGCAGGAGCAAACGTCGGACCACCCAGTTGTGATGTCTTCCATTTGTCTAGTACGTTCTGATATAAGAATGTTTTGCTGGTTATTTGAAATGAAAAGTTTAAAAACTTGTATATAAAGAAAGCAATTTTATTTTCCTCTACCTATCTCCGACATACTGTCCCCTAAGCTGCATGTACATTTGCAAGCCTGTTCAAGATAAAAAAAAGAAAGAATATATTTAGAAGTAGCATGGATTCTTGTTATTGTTATGTTTTGGGAATAATTTACAGCTCATGTATCATGCTAAAAATTGAAATGGAGCGACCGTGGAGAATATTTTGAGACTCTTTGTATTTTTTTTTCCTCTGAAATTGTTCCTTCATTGTGTGTTGTCTCAAACATGCTATATTAGTACATGTAGATGGTGTAATATAGTATTGATCTGGACTACTTTCAATCAAGTCATTACTGTGTATTTCATAAGTTTGGGATATAAACATGAATGTGATGGTATCTTAGCCCTATAACCCAGTTTGTGATCATTATATACAGCAATGTCAAAATGTTGTTTCACATTTTATGTGCTCTTACCACTTAACATTGTACTGCCTATGAACATGAGCAAGTGCTGCCAATGTTTATTAAGTATGTGGAATATTGAGTGCTCTAAACATTATTTGATACTGTTTGTTATCTATTGATAATTGACTGTATGATTGATAAGTTTGTTTATGTGAATGTCTTCCGTAGAGTGCATTGGGAGCACCTGTTTATTTCCAGCACCTTTCACATTTGAAAATTTAAGAATTCATAACACACACACACACACACACGCACATCATGCAAGAGTGCAAGTTTAATTTTGTAATCTAGAGTTGCTTTTTAACCGGAGTACTGCCAAAGACCAATCTGCACTTCTATGACATACATGTATACTGTAAGTTATTCATTATACACTTTTTTTTCATTTTCTTTGAAAACTGGCATGCCTGCTCATCAAATCATTTTGCAAACTATTCTGTTTTTTCTATTCTAAAGTGATCAGAAGTAATGAACAGAATACAATTGTATTTATGTGAATATGTCAGAAATGAAATTACAATGAATTTGTCTGTCACTTGTGGAAACAAAAGACTGCAATTAAGTCATGCTTTGTATTATCATGAAAGTTTGCCACGTTTGAGATTTGTTTTTTTCAAAGGATCCCATCTGTATTTTGAAAAATAATAATAAAACCCAAAAGGATTATTTTTTAATAATGGTATTTTCATGCTCCTTCAAATGAAAAACATGGTAATTTTACTGATGGTATTTCACTCCATTAATTGACATTCATTTTCTGAGACTTTATGTTTAAAAGGTAAACAAACAAAAAATCATGACCCACTTCTATATACACTGTACATGGATTTTGATATAATATACTAAAATTGCTAGTCACTTTAGGAGATTTAATGTTTAATGTGCAAAGTAAACATAAATTGCATACTCGCCACTTGCACTCTTTTGTTGAAAATGTTTTACTAATGTAAGTTGTGGACAGAAACCATTTTTATCCCATTTTCAGCATCTGAGAATGAATATACTAATCTGAAAATATAATCGGCTATATGACACTGACAGATGTCAAGTAGTAAATGAACTGGTCTAAGTAAGACCATGAAGGGAATGACCAGTTTGATGAGCTTAAATATCGTCCTAAATCTATGTGATGAATTTGAGGGCAAATCATGCATTATAAAACAATATTTCGGGATGCTGGTCGTTTTGTGTATAAATCATTTTGTATCGTGTAAATAATTTTATATGAAAATGCTTCTCTTTTTGCTTATTTATAATGATTTTGGCATGAACTGGTTTGCCTTGATATATATCCAGACTATAACAGTTAGATATCCCACCCAATGCATGGACTTTTCTTGTAGAGTTTGTTATATTGCAAGGAATAAAATAGCTATTTAATAGTATACAATGTTTATGAATGACATATTTGTTGATTGATACACTGTATATGTGATTTATGAATATGGTGATAAAAGGTGGACAATATTATGTAAAAAGCATTAAGTATTATATGTTCATTAAATCAAAACCTTTGGTTCTCACTCCCTCTCTCTGTATTAAAGAAGTATATTAATTATTTCATACCAATATTTGTTTATATATGTTTCATATTTTCTGTATGCTATTTAACTCATTTGCATGTCATGAATGTATATCTGCTCCTTACATGTAGTTCTTATGATTTTCTTCAAATTTATGATGTGAAAAAATGAACAAATATTGATCTTAATTTAAATTCAATTAGTCCATGAACTTACCTATGCTAATGTGTAGTATTTCTTGTATTTGGAATAATATGAGAAGATATGTGATTATTACATGTATAAGTAAGTATTTACCTGGGGATTTTCATTTTCAATTTATTCAGTATGTTACCATACAAGATTACACCTATACTGAAACATGTCCATAATTTTCCTAATTTTTTTTTCTTTTTTCAACATACACCTGTACATGTACTATTGTATTACATTTATTCAAACTTAGGCCTAAGTTTTTGAAAGAGAGGAAATTAATGTATTCCTTCACTTGAAGCAACGGACTATGGAATATGATTACATGAATTATTCATCTTTAAATTTTCGTAAAAATTGGTTCATTATATGCTTTATTAATGAGAGAGGGAGCAAAGATGATTTAATTAGAATATCTAAGATAATCCATTCATGTCATATTTGTTAGCAATTAAAATATTGGTATAAAAACTGACATTGTCTAACTTATTTTGAATTGAATTGAATTGATTCGGTGTATTGCAATAAAAGAACGAAGTCAATGTACAACACAAAAAACGATCAAAATATGAATGACTAAAACGTACAACCATAAATTATGCATAATGAAACAAAATAAAACTCAAATATTACATCAAAATCGAAATATATTACAAATATTAAAAACATTAAAAACTTCTGTGTCATCAAAGGTTACAAAGAAAGGAGAGAGAGAGAGAGATGGAACTAGAAAGAGGAAGAGAATGAAGAAGAAGATAGAAAGAAAAGTTGATCAGACAATATAGTATACAACAGATTGGAGGAGAGGAGTAGAGAAGGACAGAGTTGAAAATGGAAAGTAGAAAGAAAGAAGAATGGTAAAGTCTTGAGGTATTTTTTTCATTCAAAACGGGAACAAATGAATGCGAGTCTCTGCCAAGTGCACCTGAAGTTGAAGTATGTAACTTATTTTGATGGATCATACTTGCACCATTTTATGCCTTTTATGCCTTAAAATCTTTTGGTTGATCCCACATAGAAAAGAAAATAATGGTTTGACAACAGCTTCTCATATGCTGACTGTACAAATGATTACGAAAGCTCTTTTTATCAATGGTTATATAAAGTGATTTTCATTTCTTTGGTGAAACAGATGGGTAATAGTCGTGTTATATGACTCATGTTGCTTCGGAGGACACGTGCTGTGTTTTCCATTTACTTTACCCCTAACAAGAACCCCCCCCCCCCCCAAACCCCAAAACAAAAACAAAAAATGGGGAAAAAAGAGGAAATAATAATAATAATAATTAATTAATTAATTAAATAATTAATTCAAAAATGGGTATAATACTCTGAGAGGAATTCCTGATTACCGCCAAACAAATCATGAAAGAATAACCTGTGTGGTTAATAGGTTTGAAACTATACAGTAGGCTTGCGGGTGCACCCAGGGGCGTCGCTTAACCTTTTTCAGTTGGGGGGGGGGGGGGGTGTACGGGCCAACGATTACCAACAAAACTAGCGACCAATTACCGACAAAATTAAATGTCCAATATCTACAAATGTAACCCTATAAAACCGGGGCCGAAGGCTAAATTGTTTTTCCTGTGGACTATCTATAGTACTTGCATGCGCAAATAGTCATTTTCCTCGACAACATAAATATACGAATTATTTCGTCAACTTAGTCAGCATCATAGCTGATATATTTTAATGCAGGCGCGGAGCTAGGATCATATTTTCGGGAGGGCGGTAGTGAGCAAGCGAATCACTTAAAGAGCGCTCATTAGGGGGTGTGGGTGATAGGCCTCTAAATTATTAGGAAAAGAAGACGGTTTATTGTACCCTTCTCGACTGTTAATCCTTGTCTAAATAAAGTCTCCCCCCCCCCCCCTCCCGCGCGAAGCGCGAAAGCTTTGACGTTTCATTAAATTATTATGAAAAGAAGACGATTTGCTGCACCGTTCTCTACTGTTAATCCTTGTCTGAATTCAGTTTCCCCCCCTCCCGCGCGAAGCGCGGAAGTTTTGGCGTTTCATTAAATTATTAGAGAAAGTAGACGATTCGTTGTACCGTTTTCGACTCTTAAAGGCCCACTGCACTACTTGTAGCTACTTGCGCCCGCTATATAACAAACCATGCCTAATCGGTGACCATTGGTCCCCCTTGATCCTCTTTTTCTTATGTTAACTGAGAGCTGAGTTGATGAGATAACCACCTGTCCAGTGACCTTGCAGGGCAGTATAATCCCTCCTGTAAACTATGGCAGATAAGCTTTAATAAGACGATTCGTTTGTACCGTTTTCGACTCTTAATAAGCCCTATTTGGTGTACTGTTTTCGACTCATAATCCTTATCTGAATTCAGTTGTCCCCCTCTCGCGCGAAGCGCGGAAGCTTTGAGGTTTCATTAAATTATTAGTGAAAGAAGACGATTCGTTTGTACCGTTTTCGACTCTTAATAAGTCCTATTTGGTGTACTGTTTACGACTCTCTGGTGTTTCATTAAATTATTCGAAAAAGTGGACGATTCGTTGAACCGTGCTCGACTCTTAAACCTTGTCTGAATAAAGCTTCCCCCTCCCGCGCGAAGCGCGGAAATTTTGACGTTTCATTGAATTATTAGAGAAAGAAGATTATTCGTTGTACCGTTTTCGACTCTTAATAAGCCCTAATTGTCTGAATTCAGTTTTCCCCTTCCGCGCAAAGCGCGGATTTTTTTGGGGGCGTTTCATCACAATATAGAGAAAGGAAGCCGATTCGTCGTACCGTTGTTGACTCTTATACCTTGTTTGAATTAAGTTTCCCCGAAAATTTTAAACCTCTGATTTCTTCAGCTGATATTATAGGAAAGTGAAACTTCGAGAAAATACAAGTATTGTAGTTGTAGTCACTCTTGAAGTCTTGAAGTCGTCACAGCGGATAAAAAGTCACAGTTCGTAGTGAAAAAAAAAACTTGTCGGCTGACCGACAATATACATCTTACCGACTTCAAACTTCTGCATTGATATAGTACACGAGGATCGAGCAAGAATACCGACACAGCTGACCCGACATAGCAACATATTTACCCGTGTCTTTCTTGCTCCCTCGACGAGACGACTCCACCCAACAACCCCCTTCGCTCTTTTACTCCCACTCCTCCTCTCTCAGGCTCTTACCTCTCCTCTTTCTCCTCTCTTTCACCCCCGTTTCTTTTTTTTCCCTTTTACTCTTTTTTCTCTTTTTCCCCCTTTTCTTTCTTTTCCTTTCTTTCCTCTCCTGCCTCTTTTTCTTTTTTCTCTTTCTTTCTTCTCTTTTCTTTCCTTTCTTTCCTTTCTTTTCCTTTCTTTCCTTTCTTTTCCTTTCTTTCTTTTCTTTTCCTTTTCTTTTTTCTTTTCTTTCCCTTTCCCTCTCTTTTTTTCCCTCCCCCTTTTCTCTTTTTTCCCGACGGCATCGCAATTTTACCGACAATATCCTGACAGGTATATATGTATATATGTAAATACAAAATAAATATAAAGCTGCAAAAAATTCAAAAGAGGGCCGCAAGAATAATATTGAACAAGACATATGACA